CGCGATTGATTGTCTTAGTCCCATACTAACTTTCCCCGGTTATCCACGGTAGCTTGCATGCCACCGCTAGTTTGCTTACCCCCTCCATGGCGTGATTGATTGATTATCTGCTGACGCTCCAAAGCACGCCTGCGTTCGGCAAGTTTCGCCTGTCGCTCTACTTCGGCGTCAGCTTTAGCATCTTTCAAATTCTGATTTCTTTTCGCATTTTGTCGCTGTTTCTTGGTTAACGTCCCTGGAACCTGCTGTACAACTTGCGAAGGCGTGGTCGAGGGTCGCGATACTTCTACGGCCAGCTGTTAGCTTCATGACAAGGTAAAAATAAAATAAATAAATTACTCGGGTGACCCTTGCCCTTGACGATGCCCCATTCGCCATCATCCTCCCCATCTGCGTCGTTTAAAGTACCGCTGCTGGCATCCACATCCTCGTAATCCTTCCAGGAAAATCCTGGTGCCGGGGCCTCATCGGCCCGGGGCTGTACACGCATCACACGCGCTAAACCAGGATAACCCGGGCGCTCGAGCATGCTTCACGAATAACATCACGAGGTGGTCCAATGAGCATATGGGGATGAAGAACCGATAATCGACTTACTCATCGACGGTTGTTTTCCTAGGTTTAGGCAAAAGCCTCTCAGCCAGCGTTCGACGCTTATCTCCTGGGGTGCCTGCGTCCAGACTAGCAGATTCATCCTCATCCGTAGGCTCGGCAATTCCAGAATGGCCGGTTGATGGACCCACGTCACTGCTGGTCATATCCGTTGTTATCGCAAGTATTTGATTGTCTGATCTAGTAGCGGTCTTAGGGCCTCGTGCTGTCTGACGGGTGTCTATCCGCATCCACGAAGAATCAGTATCAAATGACGGAGAAGAAGACCGTATTTGAGGCGTGCGCAGCTCCTCGTCCTGTTTAGGAGAAAACACTTTGCTAGGCATGTCAAAGGTTGTTTTGGGAACATCACCGCCTGACTGCGATGCCAAGGAAGCTGACAGTCGTTCAGATGCAACGTCAAGTGCCGTCCCCGTTACTCTCTGCTTCTCCTTCTTCGTCTTCGTCTTCGTCTTCTTCTTCGTTGCCTTGTTCTTTTTCACCTGTACGCTTTGGTCGTCCGAGCTGGGGGAGACGGCGTCAAATTCCCCGGGAATAACATGCGGAAATGGAACGACAGTAGGTTCAGGCACAGGATTGCCATGCGCAGACGTTGCGGTGGCGGTGGGGCTACTAGTGGCGGTGGTGGCGGTGATGGAGGAGGTGGTACTGATGGACTTCTCAGACGGCTTTGAGACGCCGGCAGTTTTCGGTGTCTGTTTCTTCTTCTTGCCTTTCGTACCTTTTTTACTAACCGTCGGGGGTTCAGAGAGGGTACTGCTTGGTGCGCTAGAGTTGGAGTATGTGAGGTAGCGATATGTAGCAGCCCCTGCGATGCCAGCCACGACGGCCCATTCGAACGATGTATGGCTGAGCGTCGAACCCATTAGGATGGAGAGTTAGATGTTTGGAGATAGCGGTAGACGTCGAGAGAACAATGCAACTGGGGTGCCCGCTGCGCGCTTGAGAGTTTCAGGTGACAACTGGGCCATGTGACGTTGACGTACGTGTCATTTGGTCGCGTCCGCGTCAATAGCCGTCAACAACGCGTTGTCATGCGCTCGCGAAATCATTACGACGACTGTGTGCGATCGCGCCGCGCCCATGACCGAAAAGGAAATCAGTGCAACAGCCTGTGTCCCATCCAGAGATTGGTGTCAACAACACTGACTCATGCTATGAGTCAATGGCGGTTCCAGGGTTCCACTGGTCTGTCACTGCCGTGCCCAGTTACTTGGCATTATCTGGGGGGGATTTTGGCAGTTCGTCATCTGCCATAGACACGTAAAACGGGTGTGATCCCCAGCGTCAGCTAGGACAGGCGTTATATAGATCATGAGCGCGAGAGATGGGTTTCGCACACGGCTGTAATGAGGGTAGTTATATTAGAAACGCTGGGACAATCAACTTGAACAAATACATGGATAACAGGGTATTGCTACTACGAAACAAAGAACGTTAAACGACATCAAGACCTATTATAATTAGCTCATTTAAATTAGAACCATTACATAGTAAATGTGTCGTTGGGTATCATATCGGTGGAAGCGTGGCCGGTGTATCATGAAAGCTCAGAGTAGCCCGAAAAGCGTAAATTATCTGACTCAAGTTCGCCATCACCACCGAGGTGGAGCGTTCCTCCCGCTTGTGCACTGCGCTTGAGGAGATCATCCCAAATATCAGCCTTCTCGCGCTCTGTGAGGGGCGGAGGGCGGTGAGCATTGAGTTCGCGGTAATTGATGGCAGACCGAAGCTGAGAGTCTTTGGACGCAGAAGTGGATGACCTTGACCGTGTCTGAATCTTAGCAGTAGATGCGTCGCTAAGGGTACTGGGCGCCCGGAGAGATATTCGTGAGTTTGATGTTTGATCAGTAGTAGTAAATGTGGATTGGGAGGGCAAATGTTTGCTCTCCGACAACCTCCTTGAGCATGCCGCACCTCGAGCAGGCCGTGGTGGTGGAGAAAGTGAGGTATTTCCATCGGGAAGTAAATGAATGTGTGCGGCCGTAGACGGCTTCTCGACAAGCCTGCGTGTTCTGAGAGACGTCGTTAATGAATGAATGGGGTGCGTAATCGGGGATGTATGTATACGTGGCGAAGTTTCCTGCTGATCATCACCTTTGCCTTCTGCGGTTGGCGTGGCTCGCCCAGAATAGCTTCGACCGCTAGAACTGCTTCGATCGCTAGAATTACTGGGCCTGCCAGAATGTGACGTCGTGCCCTGAACTTCTGTGTAATCACCTAAAATTTGGTGGAGCTCCCGTGGGGAGACAATATGGCGATCCCCCATGCTGGGAAGACGCGGCACAGTCTCCTCTCCATATGAGGAGACTGACGATCCCCTCGAGTGTGACATACGAAAGAAACTTGCCGAAGCTATTTCGGATGAATTAGGAGAAGACGAAGACGTTGCCATGCTCGGCCGCGGGCCTGAGCCAGCGATACTCCTTGGCATGGATACGCTGTAAGGTCTGTGTGACGTAGCCTGCGCGTCTGTTTGCACTGTCTGGGGCCGGGGAGGGGGCGTGTTGAGTAATTCTTTTGGAATGGCAGGGACAGGTGGCACAGACGTATCAGCGTGAAAGCGCTCGCGAAGCCCGCCCGTGCTGATCCGTTTCATGAGCTTCCAAATCTTAGAACCCTCCGATTTGCCCTGCAGGTCGGTCACTGAGCGGATGTGGCCCTTACCAGACTCCCCTGCATTTGTGAGCTGTCCGCGGTCATTGAGAGAGCAGAAAGAATGGCCGTCTTGCAAACTTGATCGGCCAATTGAATGTTCACGTAAGGGAGACTCGTCAGCCTTAACGCCTCCTCCCGTTGCCTTCTTCCATTTACTCGACACTCTTCTCGAGAGGCTTCCCTTCCTCGAAAGGCTTCTACTCGGATCGGAGTGAAGTGTTTGGGCCCGCTGTTCGGCAAGGACATGAGCGTGCAACGACCAATTTCTGTTATCATCCGGCCCTCCCGCAGTAATCCTGAATTCAGACTGCGTGCCGTAGACAGTATAATATGGGATAGGAGAAGGCGATCGAGGGTCGGGTTCAGAAGGTCCTTCGGTAGGCTGCACTGACGATCCGTCGTGTCGTTGCTTGTATGGCTGAACAACATTCAATGAAGCGTCTTTGGACGTAGAATCATGGGCATAATGAGAGGGGGAGGCAGATATCAATTTCTGTCTTAGTTCCATCTCTCGTTGGATTCTTTCTTTGGCCTTTGCAGACGGCTTCCTACGAAGAACATTTCGCTGCTTTTGGTCCTTCCCCTTTGTAGGCATAGAATGTGTAGACAATGAAAGGCTGTCTTGGCTTATGAATGGCGGGTTGGTGGAAGGCGAAGTGATCGCCTTCGTAGAATGATCCGGATGCGAGTATCCGGGGAATGGCAAGCCATGGGGATGGGGTCTGGACTTTGGAGGGGTTGGGGGCCGCGAAGGTGAGGATTGGCCTGATAGACGGGTGGGGGACGGGAGTGCAGGCTTGCTAAGGAGGAACTTGATGCCCATAGCAACAGGGGACTCAGGGGTCTCCAGGGTAGCGACATTGGGTGAATCGGGCACGGCGCGGGGACGGGGAGAAGATGGACATTTGGACGCACGTTTGCGAGTGACGCCGTGTATAGGGAGAAGATCAGATTCAGTAATGGATCTGGACCGACCGCTTGTAGCCGGGGACGAAGGGGTACCGAAATATGGACGAGATGACGTTGCAGGCACCCTATTGTCTTCGAATACTGAGCGAGGATCGGTTATAGCGCTGGCAGATTCTGATGTGAATGACGATTGTGAGTCTGTAAAGCGACTGCTGCTGGCATGTGCGGAGGACGGAGAGGTGACGGGACTAGACTGAGCACTGAGATTGTGAAGGGATGCAAAGGGGGGAAGGATGCGATCTGGGGTATTGTGGGGTACATAAGGATGTCGTGAGCCGGACCTGGGCAAGGAGTGGGAAGGGGTAGTTGGTTGAGCGGAAGATGAAGGAAGGGGTTCGTGTAGGAAGGTTCGATGATGGTGGCCGACTTGATATGAAGAATGAGAAACGGCACGTTTGCGTGTAGTTGAATTGATAGGGAGCATAGTAGTTGCGTAAAATCGAGTGAAGCGATCAAGATCTGTTAGACAGGCCTAGACATAGTATATGAAGATTAAGAACAGTTGGAAGTAAAACGGATACTCACATGATGATATGGGAAGAGAGAGTAGTTAGACGCCTACGTGAAACTAGAATTAGGTTACGGGAGGGCGATCCGCTAGAACGGTCTAGTTCGGTCTACACGAGGAGACACACACAAGTTTAAAGGAGCGTAATGAAAGAATGTGGGAAGACGGTCCAGCTACTAGCTAGTAGAGCGCAACGCCAAAGCAAACTATATATATAAAAGACTTGACAAGATCAAAGACATAAACCCGGTTAGCGCTGATAATCGTCCAGCCTCATCAAATCATCCATCGCACTCTTCGGTCCTTACGCTCTCCCACGCTTAGGCCATGACTACTACATTGGCTAGTACAGTGCTGTCGCTAGTACTTATGTGCTTTAGCCTCGTATCCAAGTCTTACCTCGATCGTCGTCTTTATAATCTCACTCCAGTCTCAGTCACACAAAGTTCCCCTCCATCATCATGTTTCGCACCAATGTCTCTCCCAATGACCCTGCAGAGGAACATCCCACAATCGGTTTGATCGGAATGGGTGCAATGGGCGCTATGTATGCGAAGCACCTCTCAAACGCAGGCTGGAAAAAGTCCCTTCATTTTACTTCTTAACATCTATTTATCTCATATATATCTATAGAATCAGCGTCTGTGATATTCCCGCTAAATTTGAATCCTTGAAACTCCAATACGCAGACGTTCCTGGTATAACCGTCCATCAAGATGGACACGCAGTTTCCAGAATTTCAGACTTCATAATGTACTCCGTGGAGGCCGAGTACATCGACCGTGTCGTTTCACAGTACGGACCTTGTACGTCTTCCCATACATTCAAATTATATCCTCCTGACCTGTCCTCTGTGGGAACTCATACATAGCAACTAAAGTCGGTGCAATCGTCTCTGGCCAAACCTCCGTCAAAGCCCCCGAGAAGGACGCATTTGAAAAGTATCTCCCTCCGGATGTCCATATCGTGTCCCTTCATTCTCTTCATGGCCCCTCCGTTTCCCCAGAAGGGCAACCCTTGGTAATTTCCCTTCCGCCTAACTTATCGCCAATCCTCATCCTCTTATCTTTGACAGGTTCTCATACAACACCGCGCTCCAGACTCCTCTCTTCATCTAGTCGAAAACATCTTCCGCTGCTTCGGTTCACGTTTCGTATATTTGACATACGAAGACCACGACCTCGTTACCGCCAATGTACAAGCGGTCACACACGCTGCCTTCCTCACGTACGAGCAGTAATTCCGTCAATCTTCTATCACTGCACTTCTGACTCACACCACAGCATGGGCACAGCCTGGGCTAGCCAGCGCGCGTATCCCTGGGAACAGGGCCAATACGTCGGAGGAATTGAAACTGTCAAAGTAAACATCATGCTTCGCATTTACGCGAACAAGTGGCACGTTTACGCAGGCCTCGCCATCCTCAATCCCTTCGCCCGCATACAGATCGACCAATACGCTTCCTCTGCAACCGCCCTCTTCAAGCTTATGCTCGCAGGCGACGAACAAGGCCTCCGCACCCGCATCTACGACGCACGTGAACAAGTCTTTGGCACAGTCAAAATAGAGCGTGCGCCAATATTCCTAACTGAAGACGTCCTTGATCAGTTCACCATCGGCGGTCATCCAAAGCTTAACGGCAGTCCAACATCCCCGTCTGCGCCCCCATCAAACTCCCACCTCGCACTCCTTGCCATGGTCGACTGCTGGGCCCACCTCAAAATTCAACCGTTCGACCACCTCGACCTCGCAGCAACTCCCATATTTAGAATGTGGATCGGTGTCGCAGAGTACCTCTTTCGCTCGCCGAATCGGCTGGACTCTGCTATTCGTTCAGCTGTGTACGACGTCACCCACCGCTCAGATGATCTCGAATTCGTTATAGCCGCACGTGGGTGGAGTCAGTGTGTATCATTTGGGAGCTTCGAGTTGTATAAACGCCGGTTCTTGGAGACCGCGTCGTTCTTTGAGAGCAGATTTGAGGAGGCGAGCGCAATTGGTTCGGAGATGATCAAGGCTATTTCGCAGAGTTAGGGTCGAGGATTTTTTGAGGTAATCGTTTTTATGCATTTTTTATGTAATATACTTGCGTCTGGAACAAGTTTCACTATTTATACTAGACCGTTCCTTGGGCGCATCGAGTGAAGAAAGTGAACGTTTGTGATTTTCTGGGTTCATGTCAAGGCGCAAGGTGTCGTGGAGCAACACTCCCCGATATACTATGTTGCTACACGTGCGACACGTTACTGGCAGCAAATCGAGACACCGGATGTCCGTGTAGCAGCCTTGGTAAAAAGGTTCCCTGCCTAAATCCAAATACGTGGTAATCGGAATCACGGGTCCCCTGCCATTCTAGAGGTCGTAGTGATGCTGGACACGGTCGAGCGTCTGCGGGTTGTCATGATAAGCTGCAAAGGTGTTGTACTCGCCGTTATTATCTTCGCGATATCAATAGATGCCCTAGATGTGATGCTGTTCAGAGTGTTCTGTTGCCATATGCGCTTCTGCCCGGGGGCCTAATTCCGTGGCCGCAGTTGTCCAGATTGGCAACGCTCCACGGTGACAGGACTACCATTTTACAGTGCTTTAATGTTGCTACATCAGTGTTACGACCATATCGAAGTGCTACATACCAGCAATCGAGTCCCCAAGTTGACACCTCGACAATGATGTAATTGGAGGCGGTACTTCATATCTGCATGTCTTCGAGCTCATGTGCAATCGTGTGCATTCAAGACGAGCGCGTTCTGGTGAATCATATCATGGGCAACACTCATAGCGCACTGTCATATCCACAAACTATGCCTGGTCCATAAACCATCACCTCACGGCCTATAAGGTTGCAGGAAGGATGCTGTCCGACGGTAGTACGAGAGGGAAATTGTTTGAAGGCGAGGGTCGATGATAGTCTACGAAATCGTCAGTGATGCGGTGCCATAGCTCACCTCAGATAAGCCACGACATGGGAAACATGCTAACCTCTCTGTCCGAATCACACGATAATGATAGGTGATACATCCCGCACATCGCCTTCGCTCGTCGACAAGTACGACCTATGACTTACTGTCCGTCCTTCAACGAATCGCGTCTACATTGACATACCCTTCTTCCTCGGCTTCAAATTGGTGTTTTCTTTGCTTGGTGTTGAGATTCGAGAGAGAGATTAAAGCTATGTACTTAGGATCTTCGTCACCAAAAGACAAGAAATATGAATGGAAAACATAAACTGCGGTGGAATATAGTGCTCACCTATACATCAGGTGCTTCAACATCACCAGGCACAAAAACGACACGAGCAGAGCAATGACATTTTGAACCCTCCCATGGTCTTAGGACAAGTCCTTCAAGATCCAGCTCCATGGGACAGGATACCACAGTGCGGATGCAAACAAGCTGTCGGAGGCCGAGGATGAATACTATTAACTACATCCGATCATGAGGCCCTGGAAATCGTTACAATGAATGATCGGATGCTAGAGTGAAAACACACTGCAGCTTCGAGGGAGAGAGGTTAACAGTTGAAACTGCGGCCAACAGTATTGATGCGCTGGATTTGTAACTGAGAAACAGGAAATCATTCATGACGGCTACACTGCTGAACTGGAGGGGATCGTGGTACTGATGTTGAATGCTTACAGAAGCAAGTTCTCCAGAACTGCCAGCGAGATGCAACAGGAGGCTGGTAAGTCAGCGGGACCACATTAAATTCAGCAATCAGGAAGCTGCAGCACGAACATCAGCAAAGCGGGGAATGGGAAGATCGTGAAGACCCGTTATGAAATACCTGGCCATGTTACGAAACACATGGAAGCCAGACCGAAAAGATTGATTGTGCGCAACATTAGTAAAACAATTGTCAGGTACATAGCACAGTTGCACGCGTTTGGATTCTGGAAAGAAAGAAATTCCTGATTTGTATACCACAACAAAAACGGAACCTGTGGAAACACACTGTTGTAGGTTGCAGTCCTGGTGAAGATTATACAAGATAAAGAGAATAGGAATGGTACAAATGACGAATCAAGTGTGTTTTGAAGTGCGCATATTGTCCAGCTTGCACTTGGTGTCATGAATGTGGTGGACAGTGGGACACTGTTTCTCACGCCTACTGCGCTCCGTGTACAACAGGGACAAACAACACAGCTTTCCTACTATATGGGAGTGGGCACAACAAACAAAAGGGTCGATCGAGCAACGAAGCTGATGGGCGCAAATTTAAGGGTTTTAAGATAATGAAACCTATGCTTATGAGGTGCGCATAAGCAACGTATATATGGCTGTTATGCGAGCGCAATTTCAAGGGTTTTAAGCCGTTGCTTTTATGGTCGATCCTTGAGTGAGTTGTTATTGAAAAGGCTGAGAAACGCGTCTCTGGGGCTCGACCGCCCTTTTGCGCTATGCTTTTTCCTGATTTTCAGTCGAAAGTCCATGCGGCCTCTGGCTCGTGGGTCTAGTACGCTGATTTTCTGACTGGCTTTGCTTTGACCGAGTCGTTGATGCGCCTGCTTAGCGGGATGAACCGGCTTGGGACGGCGAATTTTGGCCTGACGTTCGCGAGTCTTTTGGACTCGTCGTCTACGAAGTCGAATGCGTCCCTTTCGAGGATTGCGTTTGCGATGCGCGAAGGATGTGGATTGATTGCCGATGGCTAAGCCTGAGAATATCAACCGCTCGAGGATCCGCCGCGACTGCGCTAGTCTTTTAGGCGTGCCGGTCGCTGGTAGTCCTCATCGAAGGCCGCGATCTTCGTCTTTCGAGACGAGGAGAAGCTGGTCTGAAATGTGTGAGAACGGGAAACAAGGAGGAGATCCGTCCGACCGTCCGAGGAACCGTGAAGCAAGTACTCTAGGGGAACGCCGATGGTATACGAAGACGGTCGTCGGGTCTTTCTAGTCGACGAAAAGGTTTGCGAAAACTCCGACCTCTACGCGGCTTCGCTTAAGTGCGAGGTCCTGAGGAGCTGGCGCTTTAGGGCGTCGTTGGAACTAGTAGTTATGAGACCTTCCAGGTTCCGTTCCACCAACAAAAACGGCATTCCTAGGTTTTCCCACGGTCCAAAAGGGGCCATCACCTGGCCTTTGCGGCACCAACATGGCTTTCCAAAATTGGAAAAAAACCTGGCCTTCTCAGACGGCCGCCCTACACATGGCTTCCAAAATTGGAAAACATACCATGCAATGCAACAAAATCTCAGAATATACTGGTGGTACTCTCAGACTGCCGCCATGCATGCCCTTCATATAACTCCTCTCAACCACTCTCAGACTGCCTTCCCATGCCTCTAATTTAAAAATGTCTGGCCCCACCACCGCCACCTTGTTCTTTCACAAAAAAAATGACCCTGTCCACGGTGGCAATCTAAGACTGCCACTGGATGAGTAAAAAAAAAAAAAAGATGAACATGTAAACACTTTTACAACACCACCTTTGCTCTCACAAAAAAATGACCCTGTCCACGGTGGCAATCTACGACTGCCAGCAGTGTCATCAGATCATGCATGCAGCAGCACTCCTGTGGCATCAAAGCCCAAAGATAAGTGGGGAGCAGAAAGAAAAAACGCCATGTCTCCAGTGGCACTCTTGGACTGCCATGGTGCACATGATGAATAAAGTAATCATCCGCCCATAGCGAAGGCATAAAAGTCGATGACGGTTCCCTTTTTAAAGTTACGAGCGCATATGGGTGCTGGTAACACAGCAATGTTCAATTCAAAAATGAAAAAGCTGACATTTCAGAGACTTGATTGGCTGTAACACTCGTGCTCGCACTTGCTCTCCACTATACATAAAAAGGCCCTGCCCACAGTGGCACTCTCAGACTGCCATCCATGGGCAGGCTCTGATGTAAAATGTCCGGCATCTCCAACCTGCCTCGTGCTTGCACAAACAAATGATCCTGTCCACGGTGGCAATCTAGGACTGCCACACTGTGAATGAGATATAATTGTTTCATCACATTAAAAAAAAAGTCGATGATAGTTTTTGAATGAGGATGTTTGGGCTTCGCCACTGACTGTCTTTGGGACTGTCGTTGTGCATATTCTATCCCTCCCCCCTTGTCTGCTTCTGGCATGCACCATCGTTTACGTCTACCTCCCCACAATTCAGACAGTTGAAGAACTTCTTCAGGTGCACCCTCGTCTGCCTCCCCACAATTCCCTTTATCTCCTTCGGTGCAGTTCCAGGTTCAAAATGACCCTGTCCACAGTGGCAATCTAGGACTGCCACTTGGTGAATAAAGTAAACATCCGCCTGTAGCTATCAAACACAAGGTAGGCATAAAAGTCGATGTTGGCTCCTTGTTAAAGTTACGAGTGCATATAACAACAGCAATGTTCAATTCAAAAATGAAAAAGCTGACATTCCAGAGACTTGAAGATAACACTCATGCTCACACTTGCTCTCCACTGTACATAAAAAGGCCCTGCCCACAGTGGCACTCTCAGACTGCCATCCATGGGCATGCTCTGATTTGAAATGTCTGCCACCCCAACCTGCCTCGTGCTTGCACAAAAAAATGCTCCTGTCCATGGTGGCAATCTAGGACTGCCACTGTGAAATGAAAAACTTTGCAGTTTACAATATAATTGTTTCATCATTAAAGAAAAGTCGATGATAGTTTTGAATTGAGGATGTTTGTGCTTCACCACTGTAATGTGCACTCACAAACAAGAGTAAGCAATAAAAAATGACCCTGCCCCACAGTGGCACTCTGGGACTGTCATTGTGCATATTCTATCCCTCCCTTCTCTCTCCTATCTCCCACCACTATTGGATCTTGCACACAGCAGCCCTCTCAGACTGCCACTCATGCATGCCCTTACTATTCCCTCAGAAAATAGCAATCCAATAAATACTTTACACCTGCCCGCATTGGAAAGCCAAAGAAAATTAAAAAAAGCCACCCCTAAAACAAGTTGCGCAACATGAATCTATTTTTCAGTCTGCCCAGGGAAGAAATAAAGATAAACAAGGTAAGGCTAGTGGCACATGCATCACTCTATGTCTCTTCTCAAAAAATAATACTGTCCACAGCAACACACTAAGACTATCACAGTAAATCAAACATAAATTTCAAATGAGGATGTACCCACCACCCCCACAGTGGCATTCTAAGACTGACATCTATGCATGCTCTCATTGAACCCCTTGGCGTTACTTATTTACCTTTCTACCTCCGAGTAGGAGGAGGTCATTAGATATTTGTAGTTCTTCATTGAATTCCGCAAATATCATCCTTTCCTTATCCGAAACACTCCGAAAACACTGACAGTAACCCACCATTCGCTATCCTCGACATCAGTTACATCCCCGACACTAATCCGACATAACCCGACAAAACCCGCTAACCCAAAACCCAAAAACATCGGACCCAACATTTTTACCTTCGGACTTTGTTTCCCATGCTTCGGACTATCTTCCTTTTCATATAACTGATTATTCTAATACCTTACAGCGAACCCCTCAGGTTGAACACACTTGTCTTGCAAGTATAGCAGACTAGGCTGTGCAGACCACAACATTTTTAAATTGCTGATTACTTACTTCGTGTAGTCTTCCAGCAATTGTTGTCTCGTTACAACCTACCACGAGTTAGTGAAATCACAACTGTCATCCTAGGAGATGGGACTGAGACATCTGACTCCCGTGATGTTGTGCTTTATGTCTTATTCTTTCCCCATGGAGAGGATGGTTGGCACTGGGATCTCAAGATGCATCAATCTGACTCAACAACGTCACAACCTACCACGAGTTAGTGAAATCACAACTGTCATCCCAGGAGATGGGACTGAGACATCTGACTCCCGTGATGTTGTGCTCCATCAAAGGGCAGGTCCACTCCAGTGAATTCACAATGGACCCTGTTCATATGCATGTCTTCATTATGTCTTATTCTTTCCCCATGGAGAGGATGGTTGGCACTGGGATCTCAAGATGCATCAATCTGACAAGGCCAATCCGAAACGCCTGTCACAAGCTCCATCAGCAAATCATTGAGTTCCTTTTTGTCCCTTAATTTCCTTAACAAATTTACTAAGGTGGCTAAGGAGAATAAGGACTATTAAGAAGTGATTTTGTACTTAATTATATTTATTCTAAGGCACATGGTGGCTGCAAGTCAGCCCAAGGAGAATTAAGGAGATTACTTGTGTGCCTGAACTTTCTTGAATACACCACTTTCTAGTATTTTGCTTATGACTCACTAGGATCTTAACCAAAAAATGTCATGAGACTATGGATAGACTACCCTTGACAAGGGTTACAACTTTGATTTTCTTTGAAAAAATTTAGTCTACTGGTAAAGCTGCTTGACAGTTTGAGAATTGATCATGTGATCTTGGCTGGGTCAGCTGGATGGTCAAGAGTTCAAACCAGCTCTGTGGTAGAAAATAAAGTGCACTTTTTAACATCACTTTGATTGCCTTAAGTCGAACAACAGAAGGCTCTCAATCAAATTCCCCGCTTGAATTTTGAGCAAGCTCATGCTTACAACCAAATCATTGAATCCATTGAGCAGCAGCATGGAACAACATTTTTCCTCAACGGACCAGGTGGAACAGGCAAAACATTTGTCTACAAGACAGTTTGCCACAAAGTGTGAGCTGAAGGATGGATCGTACTTTGTGTTGCTTCATCTGTTATTGCAGCACTACTCTTGCCAGGTGGATGCACTACACACTCCATGTTCAAAATTCCAATTGAGGGTCTTAACGAGAATTCGGTGTGCAATAATCCCAAGGAAGGTCTACTGGCAGAGCTACTCTGAATCACATGTCTCATCGTTTGGGATGAACTTCCAATGCAGCATCGAAATGCACCTGAAGCTGTAGATCCTACATGTCGCGATATTAGAAATTCAGACAGGCCATTTGGTGGAATTACAGTGGTCTTCGGTGGTGATTTTTTACAAATACTTCCAGTTGTGCCATGAGTAACATGTGAAGACACCATCAGCGCTTCCATCCAGTGTTCATACATCTGGCGGAATATTAAAATTTTGAAGATCAAGCAGAATATGCGGCTTGAAAATAGTGCAGATAACCAGGTGTTTGCACAATGGCTCCTTGATGTCGGGCATAGACAAAATCTGCAGGACGACAACACCATTGCGCTGCCACCCACCATGGTCACACACCAACTCAACTCATTGATTACCATGATTTATGATGGCATTGATAGCCTTCAACCTCCACCTGTCGACTACTTCAAAAACCAAACCATTCTTGCTGCACGGAATGATGATGTTGCCACTGTGCATACAGAGTTGCTGGGCAGAATGAAAAAACACAAGACTTGGCATTTGTCATGAAGAGGAGACAGTTTCCTGTTCAGTTAGCATTTGCGATGACTATAAACAAGTCACAAGGGCAATTAGTAAAATATGTTGGATTGGATCTTCGAGCACTGGTGTTCAGCCACGGTCAGTTGTATGTGGCTCTCTCATGTGCAACAAGCCAGCAGTGCATCAAAATTCTATTCCCACCAGATGCGCACGAAATGACAACTTTAAATGTTGTTTATCCTGAGGTACTGACTTGGTAGGTTTTTCACCACACTGTCTGAAATTCATCAGAAATGATATCCTTTCCAGATTTACTCACATTGTTGGAATTACCATGGGCGGATGTTATTTCTTGCTCAATGTTCAATTTTACTGAGTGATGCTCATTTTATGCAAAGAATCTGCGAACCCATGGTTTCAAAGACAAGATCTAAATATGATGATCATGCTGCATGGCGCTCCCGAATACCCACAATCAACAGCTCTCGAATGTTCTGCAAAATTCTATCAAGATCCCATGCACCCATGTAACCAAATCCCACCAGAATATATAAACCATCATGCATCATGTCTGGTGAGCATTCCATCCAGCTTCTATATTACTCATAGTATCTCACAGAAGAATCTATCTCAATACCTCATGTCAAACTCCAGTGCAAGTTCTGCCACCATAACTGCTGTGGCCATCTTCAGATTTTGTGAGGGTCAAGGAAGGGCTCTAATTTTTGATGCTCAGATATATCTAGGTAATGCCTGACCTCCACTGTTGGTTGCATTGAAGTACTTCAATGCCGAAAACCACATTTTTGATCCAGTTGGGTTCTACATTGTGATTGCGAGGGTAAGTGTTCTTATTTACTATCATCTCATCTGTCGTAGCACAAACTAATTTGTAGATCGCGAAAATAGAACCAAGTACAAACATTAGTCTTAAAGACCCAAAATGAGAGGCATACTTTGATTTGGTCGGAGATGTGGTCAGGGTACATCTCAGGGTACGTCTCACTATATGCATGATATGGCTGTTGGGCCTGATTTTGTCTTTTTCCTGCACAGTTGATTCTGGTCGCAAAGGATGATGTTTCATCCCTCTACATACCTTACATTGAGCTCTGTGGAGAGTATTGATGATCTTACAGGCACATTTTCTATTGATGCACATCAATATATCCATGCCTATGAAGCAACTCCACCCAGACTTCCGGAATATCAAGGTCCAATCAAGTTTTTAAATCTGTCATGCCTGTTAAATGTGCCTTTCCAAACACAGCGAGGTGGACAAAGTCAGGCAAGAAGCTCATGCCACAGCCGCATTGCTATGTCTCAGTCACCGGATTTATCACTGGAGGGAAGGTCAAATCTGTTGCGGGATCAGAGCAAACGAAGAGATTCACTGTTGAAGTTGACTCAATTGTATTCCTAGGGTGCCCTGTTGTTACGAAGTCCTTGGGTAACATCACAAGTCATGGTATGTACATACTACTATATCACACTGACTTTGTTCTAACAGATACTAGGTCCTTCTTCTAGCGGAACACCAAGCAAACCTGGGATGAAATTTGACTTCTCCCAGGTTGCGTGGCCAGCGAAGTGCCAAAGGACTGAAGAGGATATTAATTAGTAGACTACACCATGGTCACATTTTTTATGTTGTCACAGTACGATATATGAAAAAATTTCATGTTTGTTTTCAAGCACAACTGAGTGGCATAGCCATGGGTCACTGCTAGTAACTTATGATTTTATATTTAGATGTATCATAATGAGTTTTATTTGTCAGCTCTACCTGGTCATATCAATTCTGGGTTGATTTCCTAATGAAGCTTCAAGTGCTTATTGATTAAACTAAGGATGATGATGATTGAGCATAAAATCTGTGTTGTATGATGATATCCTCATGCTCCATATGATGAGTGGGACTTGATAATGCATCTGAGGCATATCCAGAAAGTAATATCTGTTGGCAACAGAGGATAGTCGGAACAATGCACAGTATGTCTCTACTTCAGCCTGTCACTATTCATACTCAATAACTCATGATTAAATATCCCCTGCACACACAATACGACATCCTTGAAGGGTGTCAGAGAGCCAAGCTAGCTGTTCAATTGTATGTTTCACACGGATTCATATACCACCAGGAGATTCTATACCAAAGTGGGCAGGCTGAGCACAACTATAAGGTTTGCTTTCTCTATATCACACTTATTTATTGAGCCTGACGTCCTGACCTCATCACATGTGATTTCTGAAGCAACCACTTTTGGTCTCTGATAGCCTCAGGTCCATCTCAAGGGTTAAACTTGCAGACCTTGTCATCTTCCTGCTTGGCTTTGACCTATTGTAGGATAATATCTGTTACATATGGAATCTTGGGTCTGCAATGGACAGATACAGTGGGATGTGGAGACCATAGAGGAGGTTTGGCCTGTCAAGGGAAAGCAGGTGCTTATGCTGTTCAATGCAAAGTAAGAACAGAATACAACTTTGTAGCGGAAGTTGAAGATGCATAGTGAGATTCACATTGGTCCGTTTACTGAGGCCTGAGTCAATATAAGGACATAGTTGTGTAATGGACCTGATTTGTCTAATGAGATCCCTTGGAAATAAGACAAAATCTGATCAGCTAATTTGTTTGACAGGACTAGCAGGTCTGCTGTCAGTCAACCAGTCAAATCAGAGAAATACAGGTTTCCTAATACTGTACCAATGCAATCAATTCAACAGTCATGCATCACACCGACTGATGTTGGTGTCGAAAATACACCTGACCTTCCCAATAAGTAACTATAATAATAATGGGCGGTGACGTGCCTCGCCAACTATTAAATTAGTTGATTCTCTTGAATCCCAACACCAGCGATAAATCCTGCCCCAAATACTGCAGGACGCCCTTGTAATATATCTGGGTATAAGGCTCGGCACAGTACACTGGGGGGCAATTCGGGTAAGTACGTTCTGTCCCATTTTAGCCGACAACCCCCGCTTCTTCGCTAAACCTCCCGCTTCCTCCTATGAACTATTCTCACACCCTTCTCTTCCGCTCCTCATCATCCTCTTCAACTTACTTCGAGCTTTTGCATGCCCATTGTGATCCTACTCGATGTCTAACCATGGTTCCTCCTTCAAAAAGGCCTCTGGCTTGTCTAGGGCCTCCATTAGGCATAGATACCGCGGTTTCAGTCGTCAGACCATGCTGTTATCAGCCAACAAGCAAGGTGAACGGATTGAAGCATCTCAAAACAAGCGAAGACAGGACATTTCTGGTGAGCGTTCACTTTTTTTTGTAATATATGAGCCCTTAAACATAGATTAGAGATGTCTTCTGTAGACCACGAGATAGTCAACACTCATGAGCACAGCAGTACCATAATCACACCTACCACAATACATGCAAGGGCTCATCATGTTCACGCTAATGCATACATCAGTATGGCTCCCCTTATCTCGGTATGTTGCGTGCACCAGCCTTCACGATCAATGACCCTCACTCAGTGTCCATGTTGCGCTGTGGGTATAGTCTCAAAGGGCTCATCGTGTTCACGCTAACACAGACATCAGTATAGCTCTCCTTGTCTCGGTACCTTGTGTGTGTCAGCCTTCACGATCGATGACCCTCACTCAGCGTCCACATTGTGCTATGGGTATCGTCTCAAATGCAGTCCCAGGACCTGCACTTCTTTTGACCAGAATTACGATTTTGCTATGGGTGCACCTCGCCGTGGATGAGATGATACCTGCACAAGGTCTCCATAGAGTTGATGTAGTACAAGCTCCTTCGTTAATAACAATAAAATTTTCATTCTACCAGTATACGAAGCCCACAAGTCAAGAGTAAATGTAAGGAAAATCAAAACTAAGGGAAGTTAAATTCGGGCATCGCAAAATTGAAGTCAGGAATATGACCACTGGCGACCATGGAGTTTAACCTTTCGAGAACTTGGTCCAAATCAATGTCAGTAGAATGATCATCAATGTTAGCAAATGCAGTTCCAGGAACAGATGAAGTAGAAGTAGAAGGCTCAGTAACCAAAGGCGCCAAAATGGACGAAGTAGAAGTAGAAGGTTCATTAATTGTAGCTCCAGAAGCAGACAAAGTAGAAGTAGAAGGCTCGGTGACCGAAGGCGCCGAAATAGATATGGAAGTGTCAGATGGAGTGGATGGAGTGGATGGAGTGTGTGGTGTGCTATCACGCTCCTCATCACTCTCAATGGTATCCGCGCTCTTGTATGCCTTCTTCCGATGTGTAGAAGGGTTGTCCGAGGTATGGGCACGCTTCTTGCCCTTGTCAGAGCGCTGACGACGGGTGCGCTCAATAATCTCTCCACCATCAATCTTCTGGAGGCATTCTTGAAGAAGCCTTTCATATTCTTCCTCCTCCAGGTATCTCCATTTAATGGCACCGCTTTCCCACTTGTTGAGGAGCATCCTAAGCTCTGAAAGAGCGCTAGAAGCTTCACTCAAGTTCTTGAAAGGGATAGTCGAGGGCCAGCCCTCACAGACGACGTTGTAGCGTTGAACAGTATTGCGCCAATACTCTGTCCATTGCATTGTGGCCTTTGGAATACCGGTAATATCCTCTGAAGATAATTGTTAGAATACAACGAGTTCAAATATCAAATGACTTATGAAGTTTCTGATTGATGATGCGTCTGATTTCACTGCGAACCTTCGAACAACAGTCTTTATGATTTCTGGCTGCACCTGCCAGAATATTATAAGTGTTTGATATTGAAATATTAACGAAAAAGTCACCTCGCATGCCTTGCATGGCATAGCCTTCCATCTTACTCACAAGGTCTTGATTGTCGATGCTCATCGTCGACTCCATGAAATCGTTGACGCCTTCAGTGGCAAATATGATACCTTTTAGCGCGAGGTTAGTAGAGCCTCGCGCTGAGTAAAAAATTGTTTCGACACCAGTGCGGCATCGAAGCTTAATCAACTGATTTGATATCAGGCACCTTGTAAACTTAAGAAAAAAAGAAAATAATACCTCATTTTCAATGGCCTTCAGAGTTAGGGTGACATCGTTGATCGTTGATCCTTGACTTGGACGATACTCTTATACCCTTGGTCTTGTGCTCCCTGCTCTTGTCATATTCATTGATTAGACAGTCCTTTTCTTCTTGTGAGAGCTCACGGTACTCATCCGTATAGTCGTGTAGAAGGCTTTGCAAGACGGCTTTTCCGGAGCCTGCTTGAGCAAAAACTCACCATTAGTTATTTGAACAAAGAACAATAATATAACATACAATTTTCGTCCTTCACCTGCTGATGTTTCTTCCAACAAAATGCATTCCATGGGCTTGACTTTGTATGCTTGAAGCACAATGCAGCATGGCCTACATACAAGTCATTTTGCACGCGTCGGATGCTCTTGTGGTGAGAGGATGCGATTGTCTTCACAGATTCATCGATGCGGAGCCAGGCCTCATCAAGTGCCGCCTTGAAAACTCGGGACTTCTGGCAACGTTGTGCTGTAAGAAGAGCTCTCACCTCCTTGCTGAGGCGGACCTTCGGACGAATTCGTGCCAAGTGTTGCACATGCTTCTTTGCTGTGGTGAGGGTCTGACTAACCATAGCATTGGGCTGCAGGCAAAAGAATCCATTGATGAGTACTTTATAAATGGTGAATTTGCGAAATAAAATATCAACAAGGTCAAAAAACCAACGGGAATCTACATACAAAATAAATGTAAAAATATTGTAAATGAAGAATATGCGCCGGTGTGCACACTTGCCAAAATGACAGGTAACTGTTCTAGAAGATTAAGACAAGACCAAAGAAGTAAAGCACGCAAATGAAAACGAGAGCACCAAGCACCTTGAGAACCACAGAAAGTAGTGCTGAAATCTACAGCGTGTGATCAGATTTAATGCCAAGATATTGTGAAGTGTTACCTTATGCACGCTGTCCATCTGAGGGACATTAAAATCCACATGGAGTGCCACCATTAAATTTGAGGCCTGCTCGTAGGTAAAATCCCACTTGGGGGACCTTAGGACAGTTTCCCAACGGCTACTGCGCACAGTGGCAATGAGCTCATGGAGCCTCGGGATTGTTTGGTCCCCGATCTTAAACCGATCAAGTACAGCGTCTGTGTTGGGCCCAATGCTGATCAGTGGGGGACCAAAAACCTTGTCATCTGAACCGCTGGGACTCTTTGTGTGAAGCGAAAAGGCCTCGGCATTTCGACGACGTTGCTTGATCTTGGTGGCTCCAGTGGCCAAAGTCGTAGCCTGCTTTACAGCTGATGACTTGGATGGTGTGGAAGATTCTGCAGCAAGAACAAACTCGTGCTGGAGTTGTGCAGGAGCATGAGCTGAACATTGAATACGAACACTGGTGGCACATAAGGGCGCAGGTAGGAACGGGGACACAGTTGGGTTCACCGGAGTTGCAGGAACTGTGGCAGCATAGTATCACATATCGGCAGACAAGGAAAAAAACTTACAGCGATGTGGAGGTGTGATCTCCTCCTTGCAGCAACGCTCCATAAAGCGCTTGATATGAGGCACCGCAAATTCCTGGCAGAATGCCTGCACGAGGACTGAAACATCTCCTCCAATTTGCTCAGATGCCTCATGCAGTTCTCGTGGAGTGACATAAAGATCGACCGCAATACGTTCAGGAGTGATGGTTCCTGTGATGTGAGAGCCCGGGCAATGAATGAGAAGGGAGAAACCACCATCGAGACAATCTTGAGTGGTGAGCTAAAACAGCAGTAAGAAATTTAGGCTCGAGCATCAATATAAAATACATACTGCATCAAATACATCTTCAAGTGCTGCGTCAACGAATTCGGCATGTGTGATGCTCCGCTTTTCTGTGGATGCCACAGTATCATTAAAAGCTATGTATTTGGGATGGAGACCGTTTGGTGTCCAGGTGTGGTAGTGCGTGCCATCAAGATGTGACTGGCTTCTGAGTAGAGCGCGAGCTGCAGCTTGGCGATCTGTGTTGCTGAATCCCAGTGTGAAGTTCATGTTAGAGTAAAGTGCTGCTGTCCCAGCAAGTGTGAAGCGTGGAGGATTTGAGCTGATATCAAGTGGAAGATCAGCAGGCTTTGACTTTGAACGAATTGATGGACTCATAGCGGCAGGTTGAAAATGGGGTGTGAAGAGTGGTTCAGAAGTTCGAATAAAGTACAACTGGCGCCCATCTGCAGTTATATAGTAAGGTATCATTCTCGTCATACCAAAAAGATATGTATAACGCACCTTCAAGTTGAGTTCTGGTTATGTGCTCAATATACAAAGAACACAAGCGCTGCAGGTTTGATGTAGAGGTGTCCAAGACTCCAAGTTGAACTCGCATAATTGGAATGGTGGCACTGTCAACCGTTCAAATGATTGTCATGACTTAAGTTATCCTGAATTCTCACTCTTGTCCAATCCTTAAGTTAGTATGCTAATTTGTTTCTCTAGCTACTGCTATTATATAGCGTCCTCAGCCGATGTATTACTAGCTACTAGTCTTCTACCTCGTCTTATCCCTACTTCAAGGACAAACACGCAAATTCGTCCAAGAAGATGCATTTCATGTGAAAGGATGTAGAAGTATACTTGCGTAATATACGGATGAACGACTCAGTTGGATGTAGGATATAGCACAGCAGTTTTTGTTTGAAGGAAATAATGACTAGAATGGAGTGATAAGAGGATACATGTCTCGAAGATGCATTTCATGTGAAAGCATGTAGAAGTATACTTGCGTAAACGACTCAGTTGGATGTAGGATATAAGAAGTATACATGCGTAAACGACTCAGTTGGATGTAGGATATAGCACAGCAGCTTTTGTTTGAAGGAAATAATGAGAATGGAGTGGTAAGAGAATACATGTCTCGACTAATCTACAATGGTTGATATGTAATCTGCAATGTCCTGGGTAGTCTGAATTTCCTCTTCGTGTTCGAGAACATTGGTAGCGTACTCGGATGTGATATCAGTAATGTCATGATCTGCTAGTCAGCATATGTATGTGATAATTGTGTTCAAGCAAAAAAGCACACACCAGACAACCTATCCTCCCCCAAACAGTCACTTACACCAGGCTCATTTTCTGCCAAAGAGCCAAACCGTCATCCAATACCTCGAATACCTGAGAAGCCGGGTTGCGATTCAATCTGATCTAGCCGGAACAAGTGCACACAATTAACTGCTGAACGGAGTTTCCAGCGCTTCTGCAGTTCCCAACCTAGTGCAGGATGTGACTTGAGAAGGGTATTCACAGCCGCAGTCACTTGTGTGTCTTCATCATGTATGGCAGTCCGCAGGCAACGAACTTCAATGTTGAGGCGCTGAATCTCCTCATGTGCTCGACGGAGCTTGAAGAATTTGACAGAAGCTTCTCGATATGCAGGCTTTAACCAATCAACTTCATGAATGTCGGTGTGAGAATATCAGAGGAGATCAAACTCTCCGAGGAAGCTGTAGTCAGCTATATCCTTCCACGATAACTGTGGCCAGGTGGGATCAAGGGCAGCAGCCTGAAGATTATACTTGTTGATGGCATTCCGAATTGCGTCCGAGCGTCTCTGCAATGCTTTTCCGATTTGTTGCCTTAACTTGTATCCTGCCAACAATGATTAGCTTCTGTTGACAACAATAATGTTATATTACCTGTTCCAGAAAGCGAGAGTTTGGACAACTCAAATAGATGCATCACAACAAGACGCTCTAACTCATCAAGAGCAACATGATACTTCTGCAGCGACGCCTCTTCCTTGTATTTCTTATAATTGTCACCACCTACCGTCCAGTGTTCTTCTATCGCAAGCTGATTTTCAATATGGCTGGTGAAGGCCTCAGCGTTCTGGAGCTTAGTGTAAGCTGTATCGACTCGAATTCGTGCTTGAGTGATAGCGGTATTGATTTGATGTAGGTTGCTAATGGCGATATTAGTCAGAGCTTGATTGGCCACTTCTCGAGCTCTGATCCAATCTGACCTTTTATAATCTAATTAATAGTGAAACGTGAGAACCGGTAGGACTCACTGTCGTTCAGCTAGCTCATCAAGGACTTGGACATAGCGAATTTGAAGGCGGTCTTGGAGGGGTGGCTCTTTAAGCGATTCAAGGTATGTCCTTTCATCGGCATGGAACTGGATGAAGTCGACATCGGTCAGGTTGAGGGCTTGCTTCACAGCCGAAAGTTCAGCGGTGAGCATGTGTATGAGAGTGAGTGCTTCGTGATAGTGGTTTCATGAAAATTGGCCTATGAATGTGTTAGCGGTGGTATGTAAGGTAAGACAACACTTACTTAATGCTGCATATTTGTCTTCGTCCCAGAAGGCAAAATGTTCTTCGAGTGTTTGATGCCGATGGAATCGAGATGCATGTCTCGTGCTTCATGCAAGTTCGTTTGAAGAGGAGAATATATGTTCACATCCCTCACCCTCGGTCTGTCCGGTTCCCTCAATGTATGTTGGGTGCCAATCTAGCTGGCATCTTCGATTGTGAGCATGACCATGAAACGTGCCAACCATCATGCGCAGATTAAGATTTTGGGCAAGGGGCCAAGACTGCTGTTGCCTAATGTCTTTGCAAATGCACAGCCAATATCGTAGGCGCAGCCACCATTTGCTCCAAAGACAGGCAGCAGCTGACCGATGAGAGCCAAGGGATATTTTGCACTAAAGTTCAAATTAGTGTAATGCTGTCAAAAGATGAAACTTAACGTACAGCTCGCCACTCCGAACCATATCACACACAAGAAGTATAAATCAATGCCGACATGCAGCGATGAAGATGCCAGACTCATCAAAAACAGCAAACATCTTTTTCCGCTGTTCAGGCCCAGCATTCTGCCACCGCTCAGTACAATTGAAGTTTGACTCTGGTACTTGCTGCGCAACTCCATCTTCTCCATTATCCTGTATATCCTGACTTGGCTGGGTCAGCTGTCAAGTTCATGTCAGCTTGCGGTTGCACATACACATATCATGGCATACCCCCGATCTCACTGCATCCTTGAATTTATCAACAGCTGCTTGATCAACCCAGTAATCAGAGCGGGGTTGTCGAGAATCTACTCGTGGGGTAAGGCCGTAGGTCGAAGATGCCCATCTTTTGAGGCTATTATTGCCATTGATGCAGAAAAGCCAGTCAATCGCTTGTGGTGGTTCGTCTTCGAGTTTATAAGAACAACATGGGCAAGCATTTAGCAACCGCCAATTGGGGGTGTTGCGCTTGAGTGCTTCGTTCAAGCAGCGATCAACATGATGTAAAATTTTGAGGTATACGTCATATGCATCCGAAAATTGTGAATTCAGGTATGGTCGATAAGGCATCTATGATACAACATTTGGTACCGAGTAAATTATGACACATAGGAAGGCCTACATTGTGAAGATGGCACAATGCCTTGCATTGTGCCTGGATACTAAAACGTGGACAGGTTCAGTGGTATTGATGATAACTTGCAAGGGTTCGGATGGAAATGGCAACCGTCGGATATAGAGGGGAGCACCCCAAATAACCATGGTAGATGAGCATCTCGTTGGGGTAGTGATGGGAGGTTGGAGGTTGGAAGGACATCCGCTGATGACCTGCAATACGTCAAGAAATTACTATGTAGCTAGAAAAATGTACCAAATATGTCAACTAAGTTGATGTCGGTCAACAAGTTCCCATTACTCCCATCAATAGCCACATTAGCCTCTGGAATACATGGCAAGCCATCCCCACGATCGCATGAACGGTAGTCAAGATAGGCATTGACCAGCCGGTCAAGTTGGTTGCTCCATTGCTCCATTTGAAGCTCTATGTGATCGTGCCGTGTGCGAGAATCAACATAGTGGCTGGGAGTATGAATAGGCAAAACAGTGAACAGGGCTAGGACACACTTACTAACTTGATAAGCTAGCGACTTGCTCTGATAAACCTTCAAACGCTTCATACTCCCCACCTTCATGGCTGATATCGAGACCTTCTTCGCCTGGCGGAGCCGTGTAAGCTTCGTTGTCGATGTCAACACCGGTGTCAGAGACCATGTTTTCAACTATCTCGCGGTCTACAGAAGACATCTCTAATCTATGTTTAAGGGCTCATATATTACAAAAAAAAGTGAACGCTCACCAGAAATGTCCTGTCTTCGCTTGTTTTGAGATGCTTCAATCCGTTCACCTTGCTTGTTGGCTGATAACAGCATGGTCTGACGACTGAAACCGCGGTATCTATGCCTAATGGAGGCCCTAGACAAGCCAGAGGCCTTTTTGAAGGAGGAACCATGGTTAGACATCGAGTAGGATCACAATGGGCATGCAAAAGCTCGAAGTAAGTTGAAGAGGATGATGAGGAGCGGAAGAGAAGGGTGTGAGAATAGTTCATAGGAGGAAGCGGGAGGTTTAGCGAAGAAGCGGGGGTTGTCGGCTAAAATGGGACAGAACGTACTTACCCGAATTGCCCCCTAGTGTACTGTGCCGAGCCTTATACCCAGATATATTACAAGGGCGTCCTGCAGTATTTGGGGCAGGATTTATCGCTGGTGTTGGGATTCAAGAGAATCAACTAATTTAATAGTTGGCGAGGCACGTCACCGCCCATTATTATTATAGTTACTTATTGGGAAGGTCAGGTGCGAAAATAAGTTCTGGTCACAGGTCACAATGAGGTATGTCGAAACCATGTCACAACATGATGAACGGAAGCAAAATGTGCCTTCGCTACCTCCTAATTTATCCAGACGACGTGTTTACTTCAATTACATGCAAAACACACATGATTACTTACTCTCCTTTGTTGTGGTGGCACCAAAATAGGTGTGAGTACAAGGTATTTTCCTTTTTCTTCCTTTTCCCTCGCCCTAACACCACTTGGGTATCTGGCTTGTAATCAGTGTCCTTGACAGCCCCAATATCCACCACAAACTCCATGCTCTCCGCATCAGCCCTCGATATCAGTCTCTCATTCAATTTTTCGACTCCTTGAACACTCGAAACATTGCCCAGCATATCAGCAATGACAGACACACATGGCACGTCAGTGTCATTGGATGGGTCGGTACTGTCGGTCTCCGCAGCCTCACCTAAGATTTCAGTATCATTCTCGTTTTCAGTTGGGGTGCTGTCCTTTGTCTCTTGGGGTGTATGACTCGTGAGTTCATCCCAAAACTGTGGATCATCAACTTTGAGGTTCCTCAACTTCTCTCGCACAGCGTAACTTGTCAGACTCTCATACAATAAATTAAATGTGCGAACGCGGCACATTTCAAATGCCTAACTTGTTTGTCTTGAGTACGTGGCCACTTAAAGGGAATCATTTACTCACCTTTTTGACTATGTCAGATTTATCTACTGTTGTGAAAGCATCCCATAGCCAGGTCATGCTATGGTCTCATAGGATGCCAATCCGCTTATTGACGATAAGGTGACTCTCTTTGTGGGTAAGTTGCTCTGACAACTCCTGTACAATGTCACTGTGATACAAACACTTCAAAGAGTGTTTGAATACACGCTGAATCCCGACATTGCATGGCTGAAACAAGCCTGTGCACCCACCGGGCACGAAGTTCAGTACAATGGTGGGGTGGTTGTTCTTCATCCATGTTCAAAACTCCTCTGACCAATGAACTGACCAGACATCAATCTGCCAGACTGACTTCTGTGTCTGTGGTAAGCCTAATTCTTTCTTCCTCTGCTTGAAATATGGTGCAATGATCTCATCCACAAGGGAATGCATAAAAACGCCTCTTAGTCACAAACTAGGTGGCACCCCGAGCAAGACCCCGAACACCCCTCAAGGACATCGTGCTCAACAAAGCCAGCGCTGCCCAGCGGCAACTCTTCTTCAATCTATCTCACATAAAAACCCAATAAAACACCCAAAAAAAAAACATAGATATCCAAAACATAGAAAATGCCTCCAGGAAAAATTTTAAATAATGAACCAGACCCCCCAGAATCTAACTCTAGCTTAACAATTGAAGGCCACAATACAAGGCGCAACCCAAGAAGAACCACCTCGGAGGAGATAGAAGCAATGCCGAACAAAGTAATGGATACTAGAGGCGCAGAATGCTACCTCCAAGAAAAACTGCTAAGTATTCGCGACCAGCCCCTCATGCTGACCCACCTCTCCTCAGTGCTATTCCACATCACCCAAATGTCCAGCGGAATACCTCTCCCAGTAATCACGGCGATTCAAGCCATCGCATTCATCTTGAAATGCCACACCGCATGCGAAATCGCAAAGGCAGCGGCCAAACACTTCACGAACAACATCTCTACCAGCCTAACTGAACAACTCACGATGGCTATCTCCCTGCAAATAGAACAAATCCAATCACCGACTGAGACCCTCAAAACCACGATTCACGATACTGAGACACTTCGCAAGAACATGCAACACGAAAGAGACGAGAAAGAAGGAGACAGCCAAACTGCGGCAGAAAGAATTGAGGAAGCCACCAACATTCTACACGACTCAGTAAACGAATGCAAGGACACCCTAAAAACCCTCCAACCAGCGCTAGAAACCACCCAGAAACATGTCACGCATCTCTCCACTCAACTACTCGCCTCAAAACAACTGAATGCCATCCCTGTGCAAGCACCAGGACCAGCCAAACCGACCTACAGTTCTATAACTGCAGCCAACCTACCTCCCTCTGTAGATCAGGCCATGGCTAGAGCGGCGACCAGAGCAAGACAAATCCTCATAACCCCGAAGGTAGGTAGTAACATATTCCCGGACGCTAACCAACACGCAGATATTGTCAAGACGATAAAACAAGCACTCACCAACGCCAGCAATGAAGAAACACCAAAGGGAGGCATAAAGTCGGTACAGACCCCACACAGCAGAGCGATCATAATTGAACTTGACACGGAAGAACTAGCCACATGGCTCAGGAGCCCAGCCGGACGTTACACATTCGAAGAACACCTAGGACCAGCAGCATCCCTGCGGGAACGCACATTCAGTATAGTACTCCAATACTTACCAATCTCTCTCAAAATAGATCACGAAGAATTCCTACACCAATGCGAAGAAGAAAACGCTCTCCCCACCCGCTCATTACACTCAATCAGATGGATTAAACCACCACAAAGACGCTCCAAGGAACAGCAAAGAGCCTTCACTCTCCTTCAGGTAACAGAAGTGGAAACGGCTAACACCATCCTAAAGGAAGGACTCTGCATTCAAAACCAACACATCACAGTTCAAAAAGACAAGAAGGAACCAATGCGCTGTGTCAAATGCCAACGCTTCGGGCACATAGCACGCAACTGCAGGAACAACTCCGACACATGCAGGACTTGCAGCAATGCACATCGCACAGCTGAATGCAATGCATATCGCACAGAACGATGTGTCAGCTGTAAATCCAACAATCACACTAGCTGAAGCAGGGCGTGTCCAGAATTCAAACGACAATGTGAACTAATGGACGTAAAATACCCAGAAAATAGAATGCCATTCTTCCCAGCCGGACAAGCATGGACCCAAACCATAGAACCCCCGAAATCCCCATCCAGAACACCCACACCCACACCCACACTCTCTCGACACCACTCATCCCGATTGCCTAACCTACCACACTCACCTCAGCCGCACCCATCCCAACAAGCCAAACTCAAACAAACCACCATTGACTTCAACATGCATCCATCAACCTCCCTGCTTCCTACCCACTCACTCTCACACCCACTCTACAACGACCCACCAGACTCAGGTTGGGGAATAGAAAGCTCCACGACTGGCGAGTATCACACCCCGAACACCTCTAATGTCTAACACCTGAACCGACAACACCGCTGAGCTCAAAATATGGCAACAAAACCTTAACACCTCCCTCGTAGCGCAAGAATCACTGCTCAACAGCTCCGACATCCTAGACTGGGACATCCTCATCCTCCAAGAACCTCACATCAACTTCCTTTGCAACACACGTGCCAACCACCATTGGCATGTACTATATCCTACTAACCATTATACTAACCCCAACAGCGTACTCGAGCAGTAACACTAATCAAAGCCACTCTAGACACCAACACATGGCAACAGCTCCCTTTCCCATCCTCCGACATAGTCCTACTTCAACTCAATGACACCTATGGCAAATGCACTATATTCGATATATATAATGACGGCAATCATCACGACACCCTACGACTAATCGACCAGCACCTACGTCAACACATCCAACTGCTTCGACCAGGCCCAGACGACATGATGCTATGGATGGGGGATTTTAATAGACACCATCCACTCTGGGAAGAACTGAGAAACTGCCACCTATTCAACTATCAAGCTGCCCAACCGCTAATCGATCTAATCGCTGACTATGGTATGATTCAACTCCTGCCATTAGGAACCCCCACCCTTCAAGCAACAAGGACCGGAAACTGGACAAGACCGGATAACATTTTTGGAACCGAAAACGTCCTAGAATTGGTAACAACATGTGTCACTGCCCCCGATCTTCGCGGACCAAGAACCGATCACGTCCCTATTCACCTCACGCTCAAGTTAAGCTCAATGAAAACGAAGGAGGCACCGCGTCGCAACTGGAGAGACACTGACTGGGAAAAGTTTAATAAACGGCTAAGCACCCTTCTATCGCCTATCCCACCCCAACCTTTAGCTTCTAATGAGGAGTTTCAGAATCTAGCGAAACATGTCACCAAAGCCATAACGACCACTATGGAAGAACTAGTACCTCACACCAAACCCTGCCCACACTCGAAACACTGGTGGACCAAGAGCCTTACCACCAAATGCAAGCAACTTCGATGCCTCACCCATGAGGCATATAGGATGCGAGGACTCCCAACCCATCAATGTCACGAAGAACTCAAGAAGGCAAGGAACGAATACACTGAAGAGATCACCACCACAAAGAAACAACACTGGATAGAATGGCTCGAAGACATCACAGGTAATGATCTATGGACAGCTAATAAGTACATCACAGGAACTCCTAACGATGGCAGGAAACTCGAATCCCCACTCTCTCGACCAAGAACCCTGATGGCTCCATCAACATGGCCACCACAAATGACGAGAAGAGTACCATGCTAGCAGACTCACTATTCCCATGTCCTCCTGCCCCCAATGACAACCTGCAGGACCAAAGATACCCAGAACCAATCGCCATCCACACACCCATCACCGAACCCCAGATCCTATGAGCCATCACTAAGCTAAGCGGATATAAGGCCCTCGGACTGGACGAAATCTGTAATATAGTCTTCAAGAAATGCAGCACCAACCTCGTACCATACCTCCTACACCTCTTTAATGCAGTCTTCACATATCGTACATACTTCAACTCTTGGCAACAATTCACCACGGTCATCCTTCGCAAACCTGGAAAACCGGATTACACTACCCCCAAAGCTTTCCATCCTATCGCACTACTGAACACCACAGGGAAACTCTTAATGGCCATCATGGCCGACCAGCTAACCCACACCCTAGAGCGACACAACCGACTCCCTTCACCTACTGGACATGACAATCAAGAACGCATGGCGAGTGCACAAAGTCGCGTTGGTACTATTCCTAGATATTGAAGGCGCGTTCCCTAATGCCATCATCAAACACTTACTTCACAATATGCATATGAGACGCATACCAAGCGCCAAAGTTGATTTCACAGAGCGTCTGCTAGCAGCACGGAAAACTCAACTCCGATTCGATGGATACACCTCAGCGTGGTTTGACATCACCAACGGGATAGGTCAAGGAGATCCACTTTCTATGATTCTGTATATAATATATAACTCTGATCTTGTTGATATAGCAAAGAAACGCCAGGGCCGTGCAGCACTGAAGGAACTAACCCTAGCATTTGTAGACGATACCGCATTCATTGCCATCGGAAAGGACTTCACGGAAACCCATAATACTCTCAAGGATATGCTAGAGCGGCCCAATGGAGGCTTCCAGTGGTCCAGATCCCACAACTCACGCTTCGAGACCACTAAATTCGCACTAATTGACTTCTCTATGAACAGGAACAAGGAACGCCCCCCCCTGATCACACAAGGAGTCAACATCCACCCTGTCCCAATGCATAAGTTCCTGGGAGTCATCCTCGACCAGGAACTTTGGTGGACAGCACAAGTTGACAAAGCCACAGCAAAGGGAATGGCCTATGTCTTGCAACTCAGATGCTTATCACTGGCCACCAAGGGACTCCTGATTCGACTCGCCCGTCAACTATACCAAGCAGTAGCCGTACCGAAAATGCTATACGTGGCCGATCTATGGTTCAGCCTGGCATTCAGAGAAGGATCCAACCAGCCGCAACGAGGATCCCTAGGAACAGCGAGAAAACTCACATCAGTCCAATGCCTTGCAACCCTAGCAATGACAGGCGCAATGTGCAGCACAGCCACTGACATCTTAGAGACCCATGCAAACATCCTCCCAATCACACTCTCCCTTCAGAACCAATGTCACAGAGCCATTGTCCGAATTGTGTCACACCCTCCATCTCACCCGCTCTACCATGTCATCAGACGAGCAGCTAAGCACTTTGTATCATCTCACTGTTCATCATTACATAGACTCACACGTTGTTTTAGCATCAGACCAGATGAAATTGAAACTCTCAATCCAGCCAGACGTCCTCCACACTCATGCCACCCAGTCAAATTCCATATCACCGTCAACAAAGAAGAAGCCATCAAGGAATGTGAACGTCTAACCGACAACATCCAAGTCTATTGTGACGGGTCAGGACACGATAACAACATTGGAGCAGCGGCAGTATTATTTAGAGCGGGAAATAGACCTCATATGTTATGATTTCATTTAGGCACTGACGAAGAACATACAGTATACGAAGCCGAAGAACTAGGCCTCATCCTAGCAGCCAGATTAATCGCCACCGAATGAGACCCCACCTTCCCTCTATCTATCCTGATTGACAACCAAGCGGCCATACAGAGGGTGATAATTTCAACCCCCATCCAGGTTCCTACTTAGCAGATCTTTTCAGAAAGCATGAGCCAAGTGGCTTCGATGTAACAGTACGATGGGTTCCGGGGCATGAGGGAATGCATGGCAACAAAGAGGCGGATAAACAGGCGAAAAGAGCAGCAGAGGGAGCCATCAACAATAGCCCACGTCCAAAACTACCCCACTTCCTACGCCATGGATCACTCCCTCTCAGCATCTCAGCCTTAATTCAATCCCAACGCGACAGTTCACACTGAAGATGGGTACATTTATGGAGGAAGTCGCCATGCTACCACCGGATCAATAGCATTGACCCCAAACTACTCCACAAGTCGTTCATCAAGTTAGCCGCTACGTTTCTGAAGAAACTGACTAGCCTCCTCACCAACCTGTGCACCCAACACATCCCACTCAACAAACACCTACACCACATATCCAAGTCTGAAACGCCATTCTGTCCTCACTGCCCCCAAAGCGAAGAAACCGTCACCATTACATCATAGACTGCCCTCACTACCGTTGTGAACACCATGCATTATCTGCTGCAGTAGGATGCAAAGCCTCCTCCCTCCCATACCTGCTATCGACAGAGGAAGCCATTCCACACCTTGTAAGATACGTGAACTCAACGAGACACCTCAAGGACACATTCGGTGAAATTTCCATTAGTAAAAAATGTAAGAACTAACAAAAAATATATACTCCAGAAAGTCTCGAACACCAGCCACACCCGCTACCAAACCCATCCCTCAGCCTTCACCCACACCCCACTCGATAACCAGGAATCAACAGCTCCAACGGTCACAAGACGGCAAGAACTGGCGCCACAGTGCAGCGCAGGAACCACCAATACCAAAACTCTTCCTGCACACCGTTCTGACTCCTGTACCAGTTTGCCATGGCAAACCGAGTACGCGTTAGCATATACCACACCAATACTCATATCGTCAGATCCAAAGTCAACTCATCTTATTACTAACTGCATGTCTAAAACAGCCAGCGGGAACGGCGGACTGGTGGGAGTACGCTTCACACCAGGGCATTCATGAGTTAGGAGATACGTATGGACACAGGGGGTCCAATAGACTAGAATGTATTGTCCTTCATAGAGTATACTCTGATACAGGACAAAAATTGGAATAAAAAAAATAAAAAATAAAATGGAATGCATAGTTCCATGTGTTGACCAATAGGTTTTCGTGTTGGAATATTCAAAATGGAACCCTGTGTTCATGCAGTTCTCGTAATTGGGAGCTGATGGACTCGGGCGTGACACCTTCAAATATCCTTGATAGATGGCCTGCAGGGGCAGCATTGTGCCATCATTTGCAATTGAGACCATGACTGTAAATGCCTGCTTCTTGTCATTACCCACAGTTGAAACCTGCTTGGCACCTGTTTTTGCCCAGGTAAGTTTTGAATCCTGTGCATAAACCACCTGTGTCTGATCAGAATTCACATAGAGTGCGGAAGGTATGTCTTCTTCTTTGATGGTGTAAGCAAGCCGAAGAGATGCTTGCTCACACAAGTCTTCCCAGTTGGTTGGAGTTTTTTGTGCAGTCCATGTTGTATGTCGCTTGGACCAATGCAGGCTCTTGTGCAACCAGCACTGCACAAAGGTATCGGAGCACTGAAACTGGGAACCATCTTTTGCTCGGTGATCCAAAATCTTGGGTGCCAAATCAGAGATCATTGCAATCATGATGGCCCAGATTGTTATGAGGGTGAGGACTGCTCCATTGTCACGAAGAACTTTGAGGTGTTTCATGATTGCTTTCTCGATAGGGGATAATTAGGCTAGGTCGATCCTTGTTTTAGAGTGTCATAAATTGAACTGGGAAACAGTACATACGAAAATTCTCTTTCATCCTCCATTTGAATGTCCCTGGTGATTTCCTAGTTTAGCCATGCAAAGCGCAGCTTCTGTCCACCTGGGTTTGCCAGTGCAATCAATCCAACCCTCGACAGTCGGACGTGCAAGACCTTTGAAGATTACAGGATCCTTTTTCTTAAGATGCTGAACCAGCCATGACGAGCTCCATATGACTGATGGGTGCTTGATAGCATTTTCAATCTGAATCCACATGAATGGCCCATGCCAGTTGTGATAGACTGCATCCTTCTTCTCATGTGTACGTTTACGTCCTGAGGTGCACTTCTTCTGCTTATGCTGGCATTCATGTTTCTTTGCAGCACAATTTGGTCTGGTCAACTCCGCAATGGAGGAACACAATATTTTTGGTGAACAATCCTTCATTGATGATAGGTCAAGCATTTGCCACTATACAACTGTTAAAATTAATCTGTGTTGTATGATAGATGTTACATACTTTGAGATTTCTCTTAGTTCCTCCAGGGGTTGCGCTCATTCTGTTTAATTTCCAGATCACGTATCTTCTGGCAATGTTTGCACTGCCGCTCATTGTTCCCTCTTTGCACCTTCATCTTTCACCTCTGTTCTTCCAGTTCATCAAATTCCTGAGCCCGCTCCCATCCCTCTTCCAACTTTGCTTCAACTACTGTGAGATGAGCCTTCAACTCGTCTCATGTACATGGTTTCAGAAATTTCATCAGGCCTCGTGTCTGCCCAGCCTTTTGGTCCTCAATGGCCTTGTGAATTGTAGAGTGGCAGGATTCCTTGGTCTATCCTTTCATTTTGTTAGGATTGACTGTAGCTATTGATGCTTCTGGTCCATCAGACTCAGATGATAGATCCTGAGGCTGTGTTCGGAAGAATTGGTGAGGCATAGGCAAAGGAGACGTTGAGGAGATAGGTGATAGTGTTGAAGGACTTTCTGATCAGAAAAGGTAAGCAGCAGTTTTGGATTGAGAGAAGGTGAACTGATATTTTTGACTGACAGACTTGAAGCTCTATTAAATAAAGACTTGAAGTCAGCAATCTTTATCCTTGTAAGTGAGGCACACATGCCTGGTCGAGGTGGTGATCAATGATATCCAACAGGATCTTGAGCCGTCCATTCCTCACATTTGAAGCAGCAATCAAGCACATGAGAAGGCATTTTTGGTAAGTGGTTTGGAGCGGATGTGTAGTGAAATGATGACCAGTATGATGGTGTGTCCACCAATGCAGTATAGCAAGCATGTGGTTCGGAGGCTCATGATTGAGTGAGTCGCCATAGAGGATAGAGTGAGAATTGAAGTCAACGATGACTGCCACCCAGTGGTTTCTATTGACATTTACCACAAAGCTAATGCAATGACTAAGGCCTGATGAAAGTGCATGCCCAGTCTCCTGTATGCATGCAAAATGATGGCTTTCTTCATATTCTCCTAAGGTGCGTGTGTCATATTCTCTTTTCAAGAGTATGCACTGTGTCGCAACCTTCTCCGAAGTAGGTCAAGCATTTGATTTTCCTGGATATCAGATAGCCACTCATCCATACAATAAGTAGCAAGTATTACTGTCCACTCTGTGTTACTAGGGCCTCTGATGTTTGCAGACCACGAAACGGAGTTGAGAGCATTGTAGACTTGTCAATTAAGGTCTGTGTTCCTTCTTTCTCTTTGTCTTTCCACAGCCAATCTCTTCTCTCTGGGTTCTCTCTGGCTTGGATCCACGGCTCGAGATACTTGGTTCGAAGTGTCGCGACTTCACACCAGTAAGTCAGAACCAGCATGGAAGCTTTGTCCCTGAGTCCTCTGCAAAATGGGCACATTGAAGTGACCATGCTCCATTGTCCAACAAAGAGATGCTCAGTTCAACAAGGTCTTGCAGTGTTCTGAGGAAGGAACAGGTAAATCTTGTAAGAGAGTGATGTCCAAGACTGATGGCTGATCCATAGAAAAGAAGACCGTGGCGGGAATATTTTTTTTAGTTGCAACAACCACGGGAATTTGAAGGCCAGCAAAATTCAAATCAAGCACAGAGAGTTTTTCATAGGGTAGAAGCGGGGAAAAGGCTTCCTTAGGAGGCTCTAGGAGTGGGTGAAGGTATTGCAATTTTTTGGTGTTGTTCATCTTGATGGACTTAGTAAGTAGTAGCAGATTGATCAGTAGTCAAAGATCAAATATTCATATCATCTGATTTTGCCTTTTCTGTGGCTGGGAGTAGCTGATGTCCAAAAATATTGGTGTTGTCACAAGTCACAGACCCTGGTGTCAAACTGTGTACAAGGTCACAGTCACAGTAGGCCATCGAATTGATTGCATTAGTATAGTAGAGTAAGCCCCAAGACACTTACACCCCTCCTACTAAACTTCAACGGCCTGAAGAACATCAACAGGCATTACACTTACATGCAACTTGAATCCCCTGATGAGGATTTACCTGCAATCCAAGTGTCTTTGAATGAATTTGTCTCAGCTGCAGAACAGATGTTCATACCTGATCAACTAGACAATTTTCTTCGCTTTGTCCTGGCTGGACGCCTTCAATACCACAACAAGCTTGCCCGTATATTTATCAATGCCAGACAAGGAGCCTCTGCACCTCCCATGTCTCAATATCAATTGTACAGAGACATTGACTCTGTTATAGGCATCACCCGGGATCTACCTTTCCAATTGCCTTTGGCCATCTTTCCCTTGGCGTCATTCCGTGATGCTCTTACTGAAGACAATCATTTAAAATGCCCTCTATCTTGTCCCAAGGTATGTGGGTTCAGTTCATATGTCCAGTATTTTGACAAACACACCTTCAAGGATGTTATTGGCATCCCACTTCACCGAATTCCCAACATGGCTTTGGGGAAAGCAGATCGACGTCATATCACCCGTATCTTCTTTCCTCAATTATATCGCCAAGGACAAAGTCCTGCCATTCCTCCAGAAACAATGACTGTCATCTATGAAAAGTGCCTTAGACCTGCCGTTGTGGGTCTCAACCCCGTTGATCGAAGCCGATGGCCTATCACATATTCAACTGCCATGAATTTGTACCGCGATCAAAAGGGAAAATTTCACTTTGGCACGGTGGATTTCCCATCTAATCTCTTGGACAAGCTGGGGCCCAAACTTCTGGAAATGTTTCAGATGCAAGATGGACTACACGGCACATTCTTTGTTCATGAGCTGCGAGGAACAAAAGGTGCATCTCACCATGATCCATCCAATGCAGGCGCTAGACATGCCGCTCTCAATGCTGTATTTCATTTGTTTGACATGTCACTGGTCAGGCCTGAGGACTGGGTGGTCGATATTGGACTAGAAATTCAACACGAAGGACACGTATTGCAGTGGCTTACCAAAGGCCATCGACGTTTATTGCAATTCCTTTTACCATCCAGCACAGAACACAAAATAGATTCCATACTGGCTTCTCAAACTCAATACCATTGCGATCTCTCAGCTCAATTGGAGGATCTTGGAGGATTTCGGGCCCATCCGGGTTCTCGCGGAAAGGACGACAAAGTTTATTATATAAACGCCTATACCACAGACAAATGTGCAACCTATCAACTCCACGATGGCATTTTTAAGCGTCGTCAGGCATGGCACTTATTTCCAGCCAATATAGGAAAGCTCATGAAGGATCTGGAGCGCATAGCAGAAATATTCCAGCTTTGTGGAAATTCTCTTGATATAGGTGGACATGAAGGCAACGCACGGTTAGAGATTAGGGTGCCATTCAGCCTGGCAGATCGAGTGCTCTTGCAAATGCCAGACAGCATAATACAAGATACAATTGTTACCTTTGATTGCAAATTGTTTTGGTGAGTATTGGGGCTAGCGGGTTTAGTCTTACTCAAGGTACTAATGCGAAATCCACTGGAAGGTACTTCAAGTACTACCGTATGGCCGCACTTTATCACATCGTCAAAAACCTACAGGGTGCAAACCGAGCTTCCCGTCTTCAGCATCAGTCCTTGAAATTGGGTGCTCTTGTTACTTACCAGATCAATGCCCTCATTTACCGGCCAGCAGAGGGCCAAGCAGAGAGTATCTTGCTGGAGGCTTCCTGCCAGCACATACCAATGGACGGAAGCACTCAACCAATCATGTATGGGAGAGGCACATACTTTCTGTCAGATCTGGTCAATGATACTGGGACTTATTGCCTGCCCAACATTAGACCCATTGACACCAATACTTTGCTGGTCCTGTATCGGAGAGATTTTATGGAGGACATTGAAGTAGAGTTTTCAGACTCTCAGACATCAAGCCATTCCAGACATCCAAGGGGCCTCCCCTCAAGGAAGCGAAAGACAACATACAGAATTCAGGACAGCCATGACTCAGAGGCAAGCAGCAGTGAGGGAGACACTCAAGTTGAAGAAGATATCACAGAAGTGGAGAGAAGCGCTTGTAGGGCTGCATTTGATGCTCCTTCCAGGAACTTGAAAACAGAAGATTCCATCATATCTAACGAGCTATCTGCTATTCAGCATCAGTTTGCATCTGATATCTTTCAGCTGGCACCATCTCCAAAGCTAGCCTCAAACTCCCCTTGGGTGCTACTAGATCCAGGGCAGAGAATGCGCACAAAGATTGATATCTTTCATTCACTGGATCTCCACTGCATTTTCAGTCAAATTCAATATCGAATTATTGACGATGCCGATTGGCATAACCTGGTATTCGAACGCTACTTTCCACCCAAAGGAGGACCAGTTGCTAATGCTCTTCAGCACTTTCCATCGGCGTCATACTATCGGCAATGGCAAACTCTTATGGATGGGCTTGATAAAGACCATGCGGAGATCATTCAGAATCACCACTTGCAGTGGTTTCACCAACTCTACTGGGTACCCCATCCTGAAAGCGACCGTATGTGGTCTACCAGAAAAGGCGGTAAGGGATGGATAATGTTACCTCCCGGAGAGCCCAGACATTGCCCACGCATAGCCATCAATCCAAGATTTATAGGCAAAGATATGACTGTAGCGCTGGTTGTGGGAACTCCTTAAAGGCGGTGTAGACTCCTATCCATTAACATAGACCGATTCAATAGTAGTACATTTCAATGATTCATCTGCCCTCTGAATTGTGTAACTTGTGTTCAACTCTTATTCAGCTTATATCTAGCTTAGATGACATTCAGCAACTGCGGTTCAATATCCTTGCAGCGGATTCTGAAAGTCTTGACTCGCACATTCAAAAATCTGAAAATTCACCCCGCTCTCACTCCAACTCAAACAGACAAGCATAACTGACACTCTTTTGAACATTAAATTATGTCTTATACAGTATCTAATGCTCTGACGAAGAGTCTGTTGATGGTATCCGTATGGAATCTGACAACATTGCAGACAAAGAACGTAGCGGTCTTGGTGGCCAGAATAAAATGAAACACGTCGGAACATGGAGCAACTAAAGCTCTTCGATCGGATTGAAGTCTGGGGAGTACGGCGGTAGAAAAATAAGTAAGCAACCTACGAATGTCAGACTTGCAGGCAAAGCAAAGTAGCATTTAGCAAACCAGATGCCTCTACAGCTTCTCGTAGGGTGTCACTCTTGCGAGTGGAACAGCTGTTGAGGACAATCACGCTGTTGGGGCCGGGGAATGGTGAATGGTTTAATATCAGGCAACTACAGCAGATTCAATCACGTACTTTGCATCATCGAACTTTCCTAATCAGAACCGAGACACAGCGTGAAGGACGTGACGCGAAGGGCGTGAATGTCAATTGTTGGTCCTTCAGATGGTAAATGGTGTTGGTCTGTTGCTCGATGTATAATTAAAAACCATGTCTGGTAAAAGAGCTTGTCTAAATCAGATCCTGAGGGCTCCGGAAACGAGAAAATAAGATTGGTTATATTTGCAGAATTCTCCCTCCATGGTTTAATATCCAGAGAAATTTCGGCTGAACTCAGAGGTAAGTCGCAGCTTAATTACGTACATGACGTTGAATGCAATGGCAAGTAGTCTTCCCGTCATGCGTCAATTCCCAACCTTACAAAGGTGAGTAGTCCACACACATTCCTAACTCACCCATCCTCAGCGTCACCCACATAGATCAGCAATGTAAGAAACCCACCAATGCATCAAAATTCAGTATCGCCATCCTAAAGCGTCTTGCTCCAGCTCTTCGCGCCGCTCTCCTTGTCAATTACATCAAAATCGTGTTCCTTGTACTTGGTGACGTCAATAGGAGAAGGATGGGGAAAGGCGGACGTACTGAGTCCAAAATGGAGGTTTGATGACCTCTATGATGAGAGGGACAAACTGAGACTAAAAATGATCGCATGAGTCGGGATGGGTAAACGACGGAGCAATGGGCATGTTCATCACGTGATGCAAGCCACATGGCACTTTTTCCTTGAGTGGTGACGTCACTCAAGGAAAAAGTGCCACGTTTTCCCGGTCATGTGACAGCGTTGCGAACTCTAGTTACCTGAGCTTATGCGAGCGTGGATTACTCCGCAAAAATGCGGACGCCACTGCTGTGGATGCATTTAGCAGCAGTATTTATGATCATAGCCTGCCTCTTTGCAATCTTTGACTTTATTATGGTACTGAATCTTATCACGATCATCTATCTGTTGTTAGTTAGGCTATCGATTGACCGCTAACTTTCGCACTCTAATACAAACGTCCGCAAGACATAATGGGATTAAGGTTTCTTCCGCGCACTTTGCTGTATTCTCGTAGAATTGAACACATGTCAGTTATCGACCACTCATTTCTGCGTCGAGTTAGCACCAAGGGTCAAGAGTCGCAGACCTTAGTGATAAAGCGTGATGGTCTAGCCCGCTTTCCATGGAAAGAATGTCAGTGATACAATGTTGTATATATGTCATTCACCGCAATCTTTTGTACATCTTGAAGTCGGTAACTGCCAAGGGAAAGGATCGCCATCAGTGGCGTCTCCTTTAAATCAGGTGTGAGATAGGTCCCGAGGCGGCACGTACACATGTACAGGTTTACTAGGGGAGGGTTGAACGAGTATGAAGTAGTGTTGTGAAAGCAATTTAAATGAGTTCTCGTTTGCGTCAGGTTCTGAGGAAACATAAAATGTTATCCAGCCGTCCGGTTTCTCCAAATTAGCGACCAGTACATTTTGAAGGTCGCCGGAACAAATTCTTGCACGGATAGCCAGAGCGGATAGGGTGTACGAGTCATCCTGTGCCCAACTAAGGTAGATACCGATTTTCTGGGTTGACTTCAGTCAATGCTGTGACAAATGCAAAATTGTCCCGTACCTGACTCAATTGCCACTTGGCAGGGAACTCCACCGTGATAAAATGGAGCTGGGGGCCATCAGAACTTCATCAGTGGGGGTGAGATCACGCTCACTGCCAGAATGTATCGGGATCCTTGTCCATGATGGTACGGGGGCGTGAAAGCTGCAGGACGCTGGATTATACACTTTTTTGATCTGCCACCGGAGTACGGTACGGCGTATGAATCATTTTAAGTATGCATAATGTCTATCGAAGAATGATGCATAAGCCACGCTCTTGACAACATCGTATCATAGGGACATACCACCGCTTGTACGCTTTAAGAACCACCGGGATTTATGCGAGGGAGAAGGTTGAACTGTTGAGTTTTGTCTGGTCCATTGGCTAGTGGCTGTTCTTTCGACTCAAACTGTACTTGATAAGCGAACTCTGAATCAAAAAAGACAATGAAATACGCATAAGCAGGTGGTGATACCTGTCTGAAAGAGCTCCATGAGTCCCGTAAGATCGCTAATCCCGATTTGTGAACCAAAGCTTCCAACAGGAGGATTGTTGAGCCTTTTTTTGATGTGCCATCTGTCCTAATATTATATGAAGATGACCATTCTGTCACGCGATTGTTCACCGAACCCGCAGGAGAGGATCGGGAAAAGCAGGGCTGCCCTTGGTGGTTCTGTGCACATAGCAGTCGAGGGGTGTGGGAATGCCAGCCTAATGAGATAGAGAAGTGGCAATGGTGGGTGGGATTGGAGAAGTTAATGTTGACCTTATAGAAGACGTCGTCTTTGCAGTGACTAGGAGGTAATCTGTTGGGAGGATCTCAAGTTCTGGACGCTAGTCATCTTTAGCGTCCTGAAAGTAAAAGGGAGGAAGATCAAACCGCACTCTTTGAATGTAATGTGAAGATCGTCTGGGTTATCTCTGTAGAATGTAAGTCCTTTAATATGAATGAACTCGTATCAGTATCAATGAGTAGGCCATGACCACGGACATACCGTCTTCTTTTACATTGGTATCGCCATATGCATCTAAATTATACCTTTTGCAGACGCATAACCTGTACAGCCCCGTCCACTTCGATGAAGTTCGATCAACGCATCCTCGCTTTACAATGTCATTAGCAAACATCACAAGGAGCAAAAGCAAATAACGCACTTGGCCCATGCACCTTCATCAGCATCGTCCGCCTCGGCACCTTCCACGCCCTTGCTCATACTCTTAATAGTATTATTCGCGCGCTTGAGTTCCGTCTCATCAAGGATGTATTGGGGCTTTGTGGGCTGAAACTTCATGTTTGACTGTGGAATTTGGGTTAGGTATATTGGGCGTGTGGGATAGTGATTAGTTACCGTAATGCACAGGAGAATGCATAGATGAGGCGGATCATGCTAGCGCTACGGCGATTACGGAGTTCTCTACTTCTCGGAACCTTCCTAAATTATAAGGTGAACGCTTCGTGACTATGATATAGGTTTGATATACTACTGGTTCTCTTCATGACTCGACATGCACATCGATCCCATCACGGTCCTAGATGGGGCCACATCCACATCCACGCTGCTGACCATCCAGTACAATTTGGTTACAGGAACGCTTGCGCAATATGCTGCAACTACTAGACCTAATTTGGTTTCCCTCGTCAAGGACATTCTTTGATGTGAGCAAACCTGGATGTCCGAGTCCATTGTGCAGAACTACATGATTTTTTGCAGTGGTCAATTCTGCCTTACTGTGAGCTGGGGAGAGGCCTAGACATCCTCTGAATGGAACCGTGAGCTACACTTCTCCCAACAGGTGAATTCGATCTTCACACGCCGTTACCCTCGGATGCCAAGTGCGAGATCAGTATATCTTCGAGAGCTGCTAATCATGGTAGCGCAGATTCGTGCTGCAAACTGTTCCACTTAAAGGCTTCCATGTGTCGCATTGTTTTCGCACAACTGTATGTGGATGGCGAATGCCGTGGACCTCGACCGTTTCTTGTCCATCTGAACGACGGATATTATAGGTGCAACGGGGTGACTTCGATGCGAGTGCCTCTTTTAATTCGTTTCACTGATTTCAAACTTATCTCTATATAAATACTAGGTTACCTCCACCTAGAGGAGGCTGGTCCCCCATCAACCATGCGCTCACAAGCTTCTATCATGTCCGCTTACCGCCTTCAGCCCTTCTCGGGAATCTCGAGGAGTCCAACAAAATGCATCGTAACTTTATGTCCTCCGTGTGGCGGGTTGCGGTCGGGTCGCTAGCGCTTAGCTCAATTGCAATACCTATCCAGGTGGCATTACATCGCCACGTGTTACTTTCAACGTCGTCATGTCACCAGTGTGTGTGAAAATCTTTCGCCAATAATTTCATACCGGACGCAACGCCTACCCGTACTACATGCCATTGCTCAGGGTTCGTTCTAAGAGCGCTTCACAAATGGGCCATCGAACGGTTCATGGACGGACTTGATGTTGGTGTGTGGCATAACATCGCGGCTTGCTGTAAAGCAGTCATTGTTCGGCATGCACAAGTTGCAAATTCGCACTGTCTGAAAGGCTCGGAGCTCAAGGCCTCTTCGAATACAATCGGTTGTCCAACTTTCATGTATGAGCACATTCTCTGACAGTCATGCTAGAGCAAGAATTCATTGTTTCGTAGAGCGAGATGAGGGGAATTAGCATCGCTGAAGGTGACATTTTAGGTTGGTGGCTTTTAGCTTTCTCCGGTGACATGATACTGATCAAAGATTCCAGGACTTTCCATGCGTCAGTACAGTACATCGACGTCCGCGCAAACCAAAGACTTACAGATAACTATAGGACTCGTGGCAGATACCTTGGCTCAAACGTACAAGTTACCTCTCTCTACACCCAGACGGGTCACTTGCATCTCGTTATTCGATGAAGCAACTGAGACAATTCCTCATCCGAATTCACGCAAGCGTTCATGCAATATGTGCAGCCGCCTGGTCGAATCCGTGGGAAACCGCATGGTCTATGTATAATGCCGCCGTAGACCAAGGGGTCCATTAGTGTTGCACTAGTGTCTTGTCGATCTGTATCTCAGATCAACGCGATCTTCCCGGGAAGAATTCACAGTAGCTCAATCTTTTTGACATACATTTCCAGGTTTCACGGCTAGCTCGTGGGTTCGCAAGGACAAGAGCCTCGTAAACGAGAAGCAGTTTCAATCTGACGGATCCTCTTACAGTCCGAAATCGACATAGAACCGAAGGACATCAGGATGTCAAGCGGAGAACATCGGTAAAGATTCGAAGGAACGTAGGGCGTCCTCCCTACAATCATAGTCAGTAGTTACTCCGATGCAAGAGCATTTTTAAAGTTCAATCGCCGTGATGGCCATTGACTGCGACATAACAAATTAGCCCCAACTAAGTACTGCGTGTGCTCCCACATAAATTCTTGGTAAGTATTAATCATCGCGTCGACGAGGATCACCGAGGAGAATAAGGTAGGAAAATGCAACGCAGCGAACGTCCTGTGCGATATTGTGAGATTCGGCAGGTTTCTGAACCGCCAATGACATACACTGAACATACGAGCGTCCTGCTACGACCAAGGTCCGGGAGGAGAAGCCACTCTTTTGACGTGATTCATGATGGATGCAAGAAGTCGATGGAGTTGGATGGGAAGAGAAGATGTTTCTGCATGTAGTTGACGAGAAAGTTCGCAATATCTCTCGCATTCACAGTCCAATCAACTGTTCTCGATTAAATCCAAGCGGGAGGTCTGAGGAACATCATCTCACAGCTACCACTGAGATTCTGTCCGTTTAACAGAGCAGAGTCCCCATGTTGCACGGACTCCCAAGACCATATCTCGTCTATGACACCACAGGCAGCTAGTAGATAGCACAGGATGGTCTCCCATATCTAAAACACGATTGGATTAGATTCCTAGTACGCGTGAACAGGCATCACAAGACTCAATTCCTTCGGAAAACCCGTTGCATGCACAAGGAACAAAGCGATCCCCTTCGTTCTGACTTTGTCCTCCCTGTCCTTTTGCACATATCGGTCGACACAATTCCACAGCAGCCTTTCGTCCGTAACCCCGGAATAGCTGTCCTCCCCTTGCCGGGCCTGTTTCATGAGTTCAAGCTCTAGTTTCTTGATATCCCTCTCGGGTCTTTTCGAAGAGCAAGGAGGTGACCCGGGCACTGGAATATTTAGAGTGACTCTGGGATTAGCTGCAGGTATGATATGCATGCTGATATTGTAAATGCCGAGTAAGTTGTTGTACCTGTGTTTGAAAGGCAGGTATGGGTCTTTGACGGGTCTTCATGAGGCTTGAATGGCACCCATGGACGCGGTTTCATGGTCTTCCGGAGCGTTGTAGGTGTGTAGAGATATGAGGTTGTCATGGTTGTCAACGACCGCTGCGTAGAGCTCTCTTCTCTGTGATTTCGGTTCAGAGAATACCGGATCCACTATCCTGCAAAATCAGATGTCATCGTGGTACCCAGTAGGCCAGTCACATTCGGCAAACTTAGAATGAGTGTGCAGTACCCTGTTAGTACTCCGAAGTATTAGATCGGCTCCCAACAGAGTGGGAAATACAAGTCCCTGAACGCATCAACTAGATTAGTGCCAAAGACCTCAACGTCAACCACCTCTCGGTAAGCATATTTGCTCGTAATTCTTGAGTCGAAGTTCACCGGTACGTGTTCTGCCTAGTAGTAGCTTTTCTGGATTCCAGTTCTGCCCCCTTGAAGCGGCACTGATAGTGGGCCTTGATGCGGCAAACAGTGTGGATGTTGATATTAGTACAAACATTGCGAAGATGTTTGGGAGAACCCGTTGTAGTGTGAGTGGTGCTTGACCCAGCCCGAACGAGGCTTCTGGACTCTGGAGCCCGACCAAAACCAGACACAAACATCACATGATGTCATAAGTGACGTCAATGTACATCCCGCAAAACTGAAACCCGCACCAAAATTATGGAACAGCCGAACCATCCGTTTCAAAGGATCATTACACCAAAAAGACTTCAAACAAGAAGGTATTTAAGATATATCATCACAGCACACCTACTCACTCAACTCTCCACAGCATGTCCAGTCAAACCAACACATCCACTGAGCACTTAATCATGGGCTGCTTATTTGCCCCAACCAAACCAAACGGTTTCTTAGAAGTAACCATCAAAGACGGACATAACGGCACATTTACCCTTACAAGACCTAACCAGTTTTTCAAGGATATTGCGGACATCAAACAGTACCAAATTACCATAGGCGATGAGCAAGTCGATGAACCTCACGTCATCCACGTCATGTATGACAGAAAATTACATGGAACGTCACTATGCCCGTACTTGGTTTTCAAAGGCACGCAAGAAGGACAAGCATTGGCCCTTGAACGCAAAGACTATATGACAGTAACCGCTGCTATAGACAAGTGAGTAATAGAATTTGTCTTCTCGTTCTCTGCTAATGAACCAAATGGTATAGAATGATGCAGAACGTACCGACCTACAAAGAACAAGTAAAGGAAAAAGAGTAAGCGAGAATATATGCAACATGTCGTCATTGAGATAGCGCATACGACGGACACTTTACCGTTATAGAATCGAAGACAGTTTCCTCTGTGACCCGCATATGCAACTAGTGCATTTCATGATTGTCAACATCAGTAAGACATCCAGTTCCTTGTTTGACGCTTGACTCCCTTTGCTCAATGCTCATGGTCATTTGCACACAGCATTGTCGAGGGTGAAGAGACATTATTATATTTCCTGAGTTGCTACTATAAACACTACGAGTCGTCTGGTGACGGCAAATGTTCCTGGTGAATCAACCTGGCTATCTTCTTTGACTTCCGCTCTCGCTAATATAAACCCACAAGCCGTCACTTACCAGACAACTTCTGCACTATAATAATCCGGTACTCGCACAGAAGCCGATTTATGCAGGAGTTGCGTATCGGAAAATGCACAGAGATCTTGCAGCGTATCCAAAGTTGCTTGTGAGCAGATGTATACGTTGCAGAAGAGCCCAGAGTGTGACTCGTGAGAAACTTAGACACACTCAGTACTCAAATTACCAGCGATAAGTGGGCGTTTAGATTGGAGTTGAGGAAGTTGGGCACTGTTTCATTTAGACCGTATTTTAAGGTGCTTCACATGCGTTATCGCTTCACAGCTTGATTGCTGGTGCTTCGCACAGATGTTTGCAACTAGAGCCTCGGGGATGATCTTTGTACATCTGATGGAACTACTTCGATGGCGGCGAGAAAGTTTGACAGAAGGCTGCGTTCCCCCTCCATTTCATATGTTTTCTCCACCCTGTTTCGAATTCGATATCGTCCCATCTTGCAGCATCCTGCCAGTAGATGTCGTATTCTGAAATCTGCCAGAGCTTTCCGCGCTCGTATTCTCTCGACTCGTTCCTCCCTTCCTCGTCCTCTTCCTGGGCAGTCGTCGCGATATCAACCTCCGATGGACATGTCTTCGAGTTCGACCCGCTACAAAATCGCCGCGTGCATTCGATGTAGGTCCGAAGAAGCACGTGAGGAGATGGGTGCTTGGTGCAGGCTGTGGTGAGCAAGTAGAGTGTCGTGTAGCATAGCTAAGCTGTGTCTACTTTTCGCGTCGTCTGGGCCACTCGTGTCAGGCCCCCTGCCAATTTTCTACGCTGTGTCGTTAATAGTATTATGCATAGAATTTCGGTTAGTTAATCACCTCGCTAACGCACCTGTTACATTGAACGCCCGACATTTCATCGCACGTCCTGGTTACAACAAAAAAATTGCTGGCGTGTATGGCCGGTTAATGCAGTTGCACATGGGTCCCTGTAAGAAACCATCCCGATTTTAAAAATGTGGTAGTTGGAGTTTGGAGGGTGGTTTCAGCCAATTGAAGTACCGGCAGAATGACTCCACCGTATTGAATTCTCCAATGACAGTCAGACCAGCTTCATAGTCTTCTGTCTCAGGTGGAGCGGAAAGGAAGGTGTGCCGCCCTCTTCAGTAGCTGCCTTTTGATGAGCGAAGGGTGCTTTGTATTTCGTGTCATAGTAGATAGTCCTGCACATATAATTAGACGATAGCGCAGTAGACAAATAATAAAAATATTTAACAAGGAAACTGTAACGGATGCTCCGGTGCTTGTATGGTAGCTCCTGGCCTGAGGGGGCTACACGAGGTATTCGTTAGTGGTCGAGATGAAGATCAGCGGAAGCCAGACTTACAGAGAAATAATAGACATCGTTGGCTTCTGTCAGGATTATTTTCTCGCTGTTCTGCATATGGCTTGCGTTGGTGCTAGCAATTTCGGAGTAGATGAGAGTCGCTCACATTGATATGGACGGAGGTCGCAGCGCTGATGACCTTCCCACTCTCGACCTGGGCTTTGGAGAAAGCAAGCCTATACAATATATAAGCGCGCCCATAAAGCCCTTCATGTCAAGCCTTCAAATCTGCAGATGAGGCGAGAAGTCGCACCTTCGTTGCTTATGCAAGGGGAAAGAGACGCTGCGTCGACCATCCTGACATCGGTAGCGCTGAATCAAAACATTGCAGAAGCAAAGACCACTCAGGCATTATCGGCTCTTACACAACCAATACATTCTCAAAGAAGTGCACAAAAACCCATCAAGCTGGAACCCGGTCAATCACGAAACAGACTTTGGTTTATGTTCGAGCACAGGAATCGCTGTAATATCACGTAGGATAATGTACACGTATGTAAAAAGAGGCTCAATACCTGATCATCCGATAATGTACCTGTTGTGTGGATTCCTTTAGAATGTCGAGTGCTGCGATGCCATCCATAGGCAGAGCTCTGCCTTCAGTAGACGGGGCACGTTCGTCACCGTTTTGCTTGAACAGCAACCTCTGTAGCGTCGCCGATAAGTATTGGAAGGATTCATTGCATGAAACTTCATACCCCGTCGCGTCGCGTCCTCCAGCAACTGAGTATCGACGTGTTCTGCAAGGAGCTGCACATACCTCACAACGGAACCACGGATAAAGCAGTTTTTCACCATCATCTAGAAATAGAAATGAATATGGAAACCGGATAGAAAGCGACCATTAAGCACCATGTGCGGGTGTCTCGACTCGTCTAGTACATTGATCAAGTCTAAACGGATATTGAGAAATCTGGGTAAAGAATGGGAGTGCATCATTAATGACATTGGATCTATGCTGAGATTGGAACTACGATACTGACTGGTTTACCGACTTCAAGACTCCCGTAATTGAGAGACGTGATAAATCTTTTTGTTGCCAAGTCGCAAGTCTACGCAGACTTCAAGCTTCAGGTCCCAGGCCCAGGTCTACATCTGGGTATCACTTGAAGATGCTCTGACCGAGTTTCAAAACTGTGTGGTGAAGTTGACGCGGTCGTGACTTGTGATGCGCCTGTTGATGAGGCATATGTGACGCGGCACTGTGAGAAATCCTCCTAGAGGGTAGAGGATCGTGTTGGAACAATTGCAAACACTATGTGCTGTGCATCTTCCTATAATAGTAATGGCTACTTTTAACAAACATTCGACAACGTCCCGCGCTCGCTCTGCGATATGATGAATCAATCACTGATGCATATGTTATTTGATTCCTCTGGTCTTCGGTTTTCTTTTGTTTTCTTCAACTGTTATTCTTATTGTGGACGGTCGTTCTCGAGACGTGTAGCTATAATCAGGCACGAGTTTCCACATATAGCGTCATTTGTCAATTCTGTTGTTTCTGCGTACAAACCACATCAATATACATATATGTCTCCACCGTGACTCAGTACTCAGTACTCAGTCCCGTCCTCCCAAGTTCACGAGCTCACCCACTCGTTTATCCCATATCGCGATTCGTAACACCCGTTCCATGCCCCCATTGTCGACCCCGCCACGCGCCAATGTATCAGCTCACGCGCCTACAGGACAGCAATCTACCCCAAACAGCCGTGGGGGGTCTGCTATCAGTAATCACATTGGCTTGCTCGGTGTCAAGTGAGAGCACCTTTCAAGTTACATCTGAGTGGCGCTAACATTCACTCAAGTGTCAACAATCTCCGCCCATGGATAGAGCGCGACATTGAGCAGGCTCAGACGTGCCCTGTAGATGACATGCTACAGTTATTCCTACAGCACGTATCTCGCAGGCCCGAGGCTAAACAACCCGATCTCCTGCAGAAGTGTCTCAAGGAGGTTGCGCGCGTTCTCAACAAGATGCCAGCTGCAGATAGGTTTCATCCTTCTCGCATCAAGGAAGCCCTCGACAGCTTGTGAGTGCTCTTTTGCTGATTGAGGTGCCATCATGCTCATAGAAATCGCCAGCGCGTCGGAGCGAGTTGAAACTACATCCTACGGGCCTTTTGTTCAAGCTTCAAACATCGCATTTACATGCCTTGCAGGACTCCAAGTCAAGGGAATGCTTGATACGCCCTCCAACCTTGACATCATTTTTCAAGTGAACGATCATCCTATCCACCAAGATCACCAGGACCGCACATCGAAACGGAAGCCCGACGTTGTTATTCTTCCTTACGCATGCGCATTCGCTGGCTTGCCCGAGGAGAATCGCGATATGGGCGCCGATGATTACAAGCTCATCAGTGCAGCCACAAAGCCGAAAAAGCAACTCTTTTGGAAAGATGTGCTAGCTTGTATCGAGTTCAAGAGACCGACGAAAAAGCTTTCACAGTGTCCCCTTTCTTATGAAGTGACCCCGTATAAGCCTACCCATCCAGAATATCGGCGCGTGGAACCTTCTGAGACCAACACGCCTGCGATTGCAGCGGTAGACTCTGTCCAGACCCCAGCAACCCTGCCAGTACCCGACGCTGAACGACGTAAGTGGTGCATTTACGACCCGGATGTCAAACTAAACCAGCTCAGCTGTACGACGTTCGCCTCGTCTTGCTGTAAGCTCTCAAAATCCATCCAACGACTCCAGCAAGCGCAAGGCCGCCGAAACTTTGGAATCCGCCAGCAAGCGCGCCAAGACTGACGACGACACGGAACCCGACCCGGAACCCAAGCTAGATGTGACTGTCCAAACAGGGTTATACGCTGCCGAAATGTTTGCTGCCAATGTTGCTGTCAAACATCTTGTCAATCTCGTCGTTGTCGGTGTGTTATTTGGTCTCTTCATATCGATTATGCTCTTATCATCGTCTTTATAGATGAGATGGTCTGGGTCTGGCATTATGATCGACAGGGGACTATTCAGTGCTCCGGTATCAACTTCATCCAAGACCTCCCACGATTCATGGTGTTGTTATATGCGTTCCAACGATTCAGCCTTGTCCATTGGGGTCGAAACACGGACTTCAAGCACGATGAGAAGAATGATTCTCACAAACTCATGATTGATGGCGTAGATCTCGAGCTTCATACGAGTCACAAAGACAGAGTGGCGCACTACGGACTCAAGGGACGCGCCACTAATGTGTTTCCTGTCACTAGCGCAAAACTCTCCAAGGACAACCCAGAGATTGCGAAAGATGGCATGGTGGCTAAAGTCTTTTGGGCGGAGGAGCAACGCGCTAGCGAGCCAGACATTTTAAAGAAGGTCTACGAGATTGCGGAAGAGCAAGATGCCGTGAAGGGCCATGTTCCTCACCTACTATGGCACCACAAATTCAAGGATCCTACGTCCAAAATCAGAGAAGCGCTCGGTGTTTCAGAACCAGCGAAGGGTAGTCGTGTGCTCTACATCCTTGTATTCCGCAAGCTCAAGCCCATTACGGAGCTCAAAGGCACAGAGTTCTTCGACGCGTGGCGGCAATGCATCATGTGTATGTGGCTCATTGTATCTGCCTCTCTCCATTGGTTGAAATGTTGTGCTTTGTAGGCCATTATGCTCTCTGGCAAGCAGGAGTCTACCACCGAGATGTCAGCCCTGGTAACATGATGTGGTACCGGAACGGAACCGTCTTGATGGGCGTCTTAAACGATTACGATCTATCCTCGTTGGCGACTGCGCTGGGTCCTCAGGGCAACGAGCGCACGGGGACAATACCGTTCATGGCACTTGATCTTCTCAGCAAAAAGGGCCAACGAGGCGAAGTCAAACATTTGTATCGTCATGATCTCGAGTCGTTCATGTGGGTTCTCGTCTGGGTCTCTTTGCGTTACAAGGATGGGCGACTATTATCACGGAAATCTCGCCCTTTCGATGAATGGGCAACCGTAGATGCCGAGACTTGTGGTGAGAAGAAGTCATTCTTTCAGACCAACTTTTTGCAGTACGAATCCTTCACCGTGGACCAACGTATGTGGGAGTTGGTGATGGATTGTTTACAGTTGCTTAAAGCAGACGCCTATCGTCGAGAAACCATTGGATACAAGATGCGACGACAGGCAGGAGTCGATAGGCTGATCATGGCGGAGGAATTTGAATTAGATGACCTCGAATTTCTCGACTTATTTACCCACACGGAGGCCTGGGTTCAGCTCAGCAACAGCGTACAGTGATATTCTCCTCGCTCCAATTACGTATGTAATATCACATATTCAGCATTAACGTCATCATTACAAGCTGGACCCTCAATCGCTAATTGGCGTCCGACAACATCACTCATAGACCAAGACAGGAAGAGATGTGGCGATGGTCCCTAAATTTGACGTTCCCATATCCTACGAGCAGCAAGTCGACCTTGTTCAACAACAGTAAGGAGGTAATCGTAATTTTCCGCAGTCGTAACGAACGTAGAAGATTAAGTATGATAGGTATCGCAAAATGTACGACGAAAGCAACGATATAGCTGAAATAAGCAAGGAAAAACATCGCATCTATAGAATAGCTCTACCCCAGCGCTTGGAAGAGAACATGTCCTATAGCGCCTGGTTTCTAAATCTCAGCCCTCATTCGTTCTTGAAACCACGGCGTAGGCATGCTCGTCGCGTCCTCAGAGCCAGAAGTAACAGTCGTCCTCGTCGCCTCCGTATCATCGCTCGTTGCAGTCGTGCCACCCACACTCCGGATCATTGGAACGAGCAGAGAATGAGGGCATAGGACCAATCGATGTGCGGCTGCCTGGCTCCGCGAACAGGTCCTTGTATTCCTCAGTAGTGTGTGGCATGTACCGCGAGGGATCTGCGTGTCCAAACGTGCTCACAGATGGCGGGATAGGACCAAACGATCGACTAAAGTTCAGCAACGCAAAGGACACGGTCGCTATGCGTGAGTGGGCGGAATTTGCAGAAGGACGAGAGGAATTGGACCCTGAGAGATTGAAAACACGGGCGGAGGATGCAAGCGCTGAGCCTGAAGATGAACGTGCGGAGTAGGGGCTTAGGTGCGAATGCATAGAGTGCAAAGACCTTCGCTCTGAGACCAAGGGATTCCCTTGATGGATGACTTGGGGCTAGATCAGCGAAATTCGTTAGTCCAAGATTCTCAACGGCGGTCTTCAAACTTACGGTTCCAAACATGGTTCTCTGTTCACTTGGGTCTGATCCTGCACTAATACCAAGGAAGCCACCGGCTAAGCTCTTCCAGTCATCACCTGCTCGTGGCGGCTCGGCATCAAGAACATCGATTGTGATATCAACGCCATTTGATGAGCCCGTGATCACGGACAACGAGTTTCTCCATGCATGGCGACTGAAAAACGGGACAAGACCTGGCGGCAAAGGTCTCCCATTTGTCGAAGCAGGTGAGAAAGGTGCTGGTGCATCCAAAACATCGAGTGAGGGCAGCCTTTGCATTTCACGGACGTAAGGGCACAAATGGAATACCCGGATGATGCCTGAAGGACTAACCTTGGACTTCGAGAGGCATCCAATGCCATGGTAGACGCGACTGTCGAGTAGGTGTACTTCAGTAAGAAACAGGTCGAATCTCCAAACTATGTTTGAGGAATATACGCTTCGACCACTCAATGTTATCGGTCAGGACGTCAATCTGGGTTTGCCGGCTGGTAGGGATAGAGTTGAAGTAATGAAGAAGCGTGCGGACTACAAGGCAGACGTTGATCAAGTATAGCAGTTCAAGAACAGAGGGCACTCACCAATCATACAGTGGGGAGTTTTTCATTGACGTGTCGAAAGTACAACGCGATCTTGGGCTAAGTTAAGTCGATTCAAACGACGTAAGGACATATCCGACGTTAGTATTCAATCGTCACGTGATCGAGAAAACGTGGCACTTTTTCCTTGAGTGGTGACGTCACTCAAGGAAAAAGTGCCACGTTTTCTCGATCACGTGACCACACCAGTTCATTTCGTTCTACCCCTCTCTACGTCGCTCAATCCTGGCGCTGAACCAATCGATCTGATCCCAGCTGTGACTCCCTGCTGTGACTTGAAATTCTGAACCTGGTAATCCTGAACAAATAGGTAGTAACTGGACACTTGAAACCTGTGTGTTTGGATTTTCTGTTATTGTCCCTGTACGACCCCTGAGTGCTGAGTGATCATCTTTCAGGAGATATCTAACGATGTCCAACCAAACTCAAGGAGCTGAAGGTGAAAGAGTTGCTGAAGTTGAGGGTGCGTGTTGTTTCCTACCTTTCAAGAATCAAGTACTAATCTCACTTTCCCCATATGCAGAAATAATCAAATTCCCTGACTTGCACATTCTGTCCGACGACGAACTACTAACACTGATGTATGGCACCTCCCGCAACTCATTGTCCCTTGACCCACCCTGGAATTCCAACATCGCATTGAAGTGGCCTCTGGAGTTACTGTTATCATCCCAACACAAACCTACCAACAACACTGTCCTACCTCCTGAGGCCGCAAAACCACCTGACTCATGGTGTTATCCACAAGCCCCCCCTTATGTGCTAAACTCACTTCCTGATGATCGGTTTCGTCGCCAGTATCGGTATGCTGCCACCTACCATCCTCGTGATGCACCGCACCTCCGGGATCGATACTGTAAAATCACCACACCGCCTAATGTATCCCAGCCCCAATTTGTCAATGGCAAGGCTATGCTAAAGTCAATTCCTGGCATGGTGAAAATGGAAATGGGCATTCCCTACGTCTACGAGGTCTGTGGGGACCCTGGAAAGATCGTTACTGTGGGTTGTGCCCATACCCTGGAATCTCTCCGGACCTATCCAAAATATGCTGTTATACACCAGCTTGTGGATGAACTGCAATTGCTGACGTGGGGGGATGCAGGTCCAGCCTCCAGCACTCCTGCAGTCTACAAGTTGCCAGAGTTCAAGCGCAATGACCGATCCTCACGACCGTTGGCAGGCTCGTATGAAGGTTCTTACAACCTTGCTAGTACTGTCATAAAGGGCCAGGGCCAGGGCACACTAGCACCTGCTGTGCAGACCGATACACGAGAAGCCCGTAGTCAAATCGGCAACATTCTGAAGATACTTCACAATCTATACAATCTCATTCTACCCCTGAGTGTCTCTGCCGATGAATGGGATATACTGGAATATGTTATGGCAGAGAACAATGTATTCACTTTTGGAGGAGGAGGGGTAGGCCCTGTAGGCTGCCAGCTAAATATCTCTTCCATGGATTCTGGAGGAGCTCTTGAAGAAGCCATTGGCGGTGCTCAGGGATCCTGGCACGTAGATGCTGGTGATGATCCCATGACTCATACTCTAGTGACCATGTTATTGCGGCTTCCACCAGGTTTGTATTCATACTATTTTATATGTTTATCTAACCAGTTATCCTGTACTAGGCAGTGACCCAGGTGCATTTTGCCTGGGTCGCCCTGGCCTTTATGTTCGAGAACTAAACACCCTGGTTGTCTTTCTCATATTCAAGGGAAACGATATTCATTCTGGATGTGCCCCCTGTCTTGATCCTAGTATCTCAAGAGACCAACTCTACTGTGGGTTTGAGATCTGGGAACAGGAGTTCAGTTCTCAACTCCAGAAACCATGGGACCTCACTAGCGCTGAGAACCGTGCAGTATATGTGTCATATATTCCTCGAGCAGCCTTCCGACGCACATCCCGTTGCAGCGTATACAGTAGCAAGGATGTTGTTTATGGCAATGCCTGTGATCCAGTTGTTGGAGAATCGGAGAGGACGCAACCCCAGAATTATATTGACAATGGCAAAACTATCCTAGGAGACAGTTATGATGAACGGATATCTAGGGAGAGCATGATGCAGGCCTGGAATATGAATGTCAAGGCAAGAATCTCTCCCTCCCCATTTTACAACTGTGTATCTGCCCAAACGTTTCCCTCCAACCATCCTCAGACATTTCCAATGCCTCTTCATCGCCTACACGATCAAGAATACTTGAAGCTGAAGAGGGCAAAATACCACTATATGCGGAAGATTGTCGATGAAGAGTATTGCATCACTCTGAGCAAGCCGGACCTCCAGCGATTTCGAGTCCATGCATTCAAGGATCCTATGGTTCCTCCTCAGCGGGGCCGGATTGCTGTACCTGCCCGTAAGAGCATCGCTGCAATTAGCTCCCAGAATCACCCCGCATCGCCGGGTCCTTCATCTTCAAAGCGCAAGAAGCCTCCTCTGTCTCTACCTAGTAAACAGAATGGTTCAATTATGGCCCAGAAGTCTCAGCAACCCATCCGGAAAAAGAGGAGATTGCACCAAAGACTGTCTGAATCTGGGTCTGAGTCCGACTCGGAGTCTCTGAGTGATGACGAATCCGAGGAAGCTTTTCAGGAGAACTTTGAAGTTCAGGACATCGTTGACTCAATTTTTGTTGAGGTAAATCGTCTAGGTGCTATGAACTCACTTTTGAAGCTAACTAAAAAACAGGATGGTTTAATATTATATCGCGTAAGATGGAAAGGGTTCGGACCTGAGGATGACTGCCACTATGAAGAAAAAGAATTACAGTAAGTTACCAGTCTCCCATCTGAGGCAAGTAGCGATTGACCTCTATTGCAGAGATTGCTCGGATATTCTTGCTGCCTACAAAGAGAATCTCACAAAAGAGCGTCACTCTAGTGAGAAGAGAAATTTCATTCCGCTGGACTCTGGATCAGCAGCGCTGCAAACTCTGACTCATATGATTGATGCCAGTCACCTGGAAACTGCAGCTGAAAGCACACAGTCTGCTAACTTCACACTCGCTCAGACTGCCAAAACATTTGGTCCAGCCTCTACTCAAGACGCTGTTAATGCACTATCTCACAATGCCCGCCTTAATGATCGGGTTGCAGGCCTTAGACTGGACGTTTGGAGTGACGAGACAGCCAAGATGACTATCGATCATGCTCACAAAGCAGCTGCAAGCATTTCAGCATTGCTCAGGGAAACGGACCAGCATGAGTTGTTGTTGAGGGCCTTGCTCTGGGAGACCGGCCGGCTGTACCTGACGGTATACAACTGGTATATGGAGACTGGCCCTGCAATTGCAGATAAACTCATCAACTGCCTCCGGTCAAACCATGGAGAAAGTAGCTTGAAAAGCATGAGCCCTCAATACTCCCCCTTGGTTCTTCGCATCTATGAATACCTGCAGGCTTTATGCAAAGCAAAGAATCAGGGTCAATCAAGACGCACACCGTCTGACTTAGTTTCAGATGACCAACTGGAAGAGCTTCGCACCTTGAATCCCCAAATCCACGGCTTCTATGTTAAGGATGGGACGACAGGCCTGCTTCAGCTTCCCAAAATTTTGCCCTGCCATGTGGACGCAGCCAAGATCCCCAAGGTAGCAAAGCAGTGCTTCGTTGACTTTATCTTCGATGCACTCATCCTGGAGCACATCTTGGAATCTGACAAGTATTTCAATAACGGGAGAATACATGCCAATAAGCCCGAGCAAATCCGGGGCAGATTCTTAATTCGAGGTGACTTCTATTCAAAGGGCAGCAAAATCGATTTGACTGATACAGATTTTTCCAAGGCGGCTTTTTATCTGCCATAGTAAAGAGATTCGATTGGGATGATAGCATTCTGACCTCTTTGGAATGGAAGTCTCTTCTGCAAGCCCCTCGCCGCATTTTCCGCACAAATTTGACTGATGTTGATTTTGGCTCCATCATCCACCGGGATCCCGTTGCTGCCTTTGCATCCCTGGACATCTGGCTAAGTGGCTGTGTCCATTCTGTTACAATCAACGCTGCTCATGTCTTAGGAGATGCAGTATGGGAATTTGTGAAGAAAGCTGGAGACCGATCGGGGCGCTTTTCCCGTCATAATCCATTCCTGCATATTCTATCACAGAGTTCTCCCCCAGTGACCTTCCTACCCCGGCGGTTGGATAAAACTGCCCTGTCCTCTCAGGTCCTTCTTCCCCCCTCTCAAACTTCTCCATACAGCATTCCAGCGCTGCTGATCCGCGAAGCTCTTAACAAAAAGAGGAACCATGTGCCTGGCTCCTCCTGCATTGACCGAATCATGCGTGGCTTGCGGCCTAGTCAAGGACAGAAGTCCATCCAGAGCACTACCAATCTGGATCATGTCAATATTCTTCGCATGGATAGCGACTATTCACGCATGTTGGCCCAAACCTTTCCGCCATCCCACGTCACCACCTCTGTGGGAATATCCAATCTTTTGGCCTATATGGCTTGCGGGCACGGCTACCTTACTGGCCAATTTGTTCAAGATCACGAACTGAAGTTTTCATCTTTGGATGATTGCATAGCTCTATATGAGAGAGCCAGCTACAACGCCAATAACAGCGAGGGACCATTTTTCAACTCCCGAATATGGGGCCAGCCCTCAGCACACTTTGGTGTGCGATCAACCCGGAGCTCAGGAGGGCCCTACCCCACAACTAAGGAGAAGTTCACACCGATATTCTCCCAAAAAATACAGAACAACTGGATCCAATTTCTGGGCCCCGTGGCCTACAAAGACCCGCGGACAATGACAGAACTCCGGCTTCCTTGGGTCTGCGCCAGAGACTGGATTCTTCAACAAAAACTCCGTTGCTTTTCTTCCGGCCTAACACCCTTCCAATTCTGCAATAATCTTGTAGCTTTAGGAATATGTGATCCTCCCACACCGGCGGAGATGGGCACTTGGATTGCGGGAAATAGGATGTTAGGCGCCTTCCAGGGACTCAAGATACTTGGTTTCAATATTGATCCCAGGGGTCCCAGTTTTGGGCAGACCGCCTTCCAGTGCTTTCATTCCCATCTGGAACAGCGTCTTCACCCCTCTGACAAACTTGACCTGGCGTTTTCCACAATATTCTCTGAACACCTTCTTTGCAAGATAGCTCGCTTTTCTGGCATGTTCAAGAAGTCAGAGGGGACCTCCCTACTCTCCCTCGCTGAGAATGAGTCATGCGAAGGATGGAGATCGGGAGAAAACATCAATGACAAGTCTGGTCAGCTATTTCCTATTCCCTTTGCGCAGGATAGGGAAGTTATAGACCAGCTGGTCGCCTCGGCAGAGGACTGAAGGTAAGCGCCCCTATTTTGAATGTCAAGCTTCTCTGATGTGATTAGAAGTTCATTTTTACGATCGTCGGTGCTAATTTTTGTACCATAGTTTTGTTGTACATATCTCAAATGTTGACTGCGCGGCATTGGACGCTGCTTAAATATTAGTTGACTTGGAATCGCTGACATTGCATTAATGGTCCACATCATCCGTGCCGGTAGAACAATGACCTGTCCTCGGAGAACACGATCGTCGGCGACACTTTCCAAAGCAGCTTGGAACGCTGCCATGACGGCCTGAAGATCACCCATCTTGAAAGATGCTGACCAAATCAGCGATTCCCGCTCGACATCTTCAGGAAGTAGACCCAGAGCATTCTCGAAAGATGCTAATGATCCTTCATAGTCCTGCAATCCAAGATGGAGCCGTGCAATGTTAGTGTGCGACGACAAATTAAACTATGGGATCCTCCTTCTCCTCGTATGATGCTTCTAGAAGAGTAATTGCATGACCTACGTACTCTACACCCTGTTCAAGTTTTTCGGGGAATTCGCAAATAAGAAGATATGGAGGTCGCAGGCATCAGCCGGGCAGCGTTTGGAATGGCACCCGAGGAAGAAGAAGGGAGTTAAAAGGCGATCTGTAGTGGGTGCACGAACTGTATTTGAATCGTTTATGGTAACAAGAACGCGCAAGTCAAATTGCAGGTCTGCCATAGGCTTGAACCACGTGTCAGTTGCTTATGCACATATGAGGCGGCGGGGTATATTTACCACGTCTGCTGTCATGCTGACTGCGTGCTCGAGTAATGTACGAACGTCCACTTCGTAATGCTTGGCCATCCAAGTCATGGTATAACCCGGATCAAGAGTTTGCGCCTTCGTAAATGCTTGGGTGGCCAAGTTAACGTCGTTATGGTATAAGTATAGGAGACCGATCTTAGCCGCGTTCTAGATAGGTTGAGTTGAGATTGTAACAGGGGCGTGTATCCCACCAACCTTGGTATCCCCTTGATATACGCATGTTGCTCCGAGCGGTTTCGGAAGAGCCTGCTGTGATGTGGTAATTGTAGGCAGCGACAGCAGCTTTGAGCGTGTTCAGTCTGGCGACTCGGTCGTCCGGAGAGAGTTGTGAACCGGTCAGCCGAGCGCTACTTTAGTCTCGGATGATTTCGCAGACCACAGTCATGGCTGCGCGGACATTGTTTTCATCCGGGAAGGCAGTGATTACAGATAACTCAAACAGCATCAGCAGCGATTTTCCAGGCAACTCCACGATATCCCAGGCTTTCCCGGATGGCGACTGACACGACGTTGACACGGGAGATAAAAGACAGCTCAGATAAAAGGACACCGGCTTTAGCGGGGCGAACATCCAGTATAGACTGGAAAGAGGTAAGAGCTTCTGCAAGCCTTCCCGCTTGCCGTTGGACTTTTGCTATGAAGTATGTACACATCCAGTCGTCCGGTTCAAGCTCGTGAGCTCGACTTAGTGCCCTAAGGACAGCAACATGGCGGTTGGCTTTACTGTAGGCTTCACCAAGTCTTAGCCATGAGAGCTGGTCATCGACATCCGCTCGGAGTGCCGCTTGAAAAAACATTCCGAATAGTTCCTCCTTATCTGTGCCAAATAAAGTTAGGTTGGAAATAAATGTCATAAGTACATCCTTTACCAGCTCCACGACACTAAGAGCCTTCCATGCCCACGCGTTTACCTGAAGATCCTTTCCCGAAGCTGTGCCATCCCCTTCCCCCATACCCGCACCATCCCGCCTTCACCATCTATAGTACGTCGAGCCACCACCTCAACCAGATCCCATTCACGCTCGTCAGCGAAGCCTTCCGCCGGACGCCTCGCAGCCTCTGATTCACGGGCATCAAGTTCAAATGTTTCCTGGAAACACTTCGAAGCTCGAGTAGAGTCAGGTGGTGACGCGTGTTCCGAGTAATATATACCTAACGAAGTGTATGCCGCCGCATACTCGCCATTGTGTTCGAGCGATGTGAAGTATTTGAAAGCTTCCTCACGAGACTCCTGTAATAGGGATAAGTAATATAAGGCAAAAGGCGTGGGACGTTATACCTCCCAGATCCCAGTAACATCTCCCAATCCGCCGTAGGCATCGAGCTTCATCGATGTCACAATCCTAGGGTCGCTATCCACCTCAAAGGTCAGTTCTTCTGTTGATTCTTCGTCACCATAAGCAGCCTTGTTGTATCCTGTCAACGTCAGCGCTAATGTACTTGTCTGGGGCATCTGGGATGAGATGTTCGTATTTGCGGTAGATAGTGTACACGGCGAATACGGCGTTCTCGTGGACGTAGGAATGACGGCGCTCGGGACAGCTGCGGCAGGTGGCGATGAGGAGTTCGAGGAGTTCTGCATCTATTTTTTGAAGGAAACACAAGGCAGCGCCACGGATATATTCGTTGGGGTATTGCTGCAAGGATAGGAAGGACAGAATAACGTCAGGAGTGCGGGAACTAGTCTTACCAGGTCATTTCAGATGGCATTGCTAGGCAAGGTGAGTATATGTGCGGTAGGATGATAATAGATACACGTACATGACAAGAATCATCTCCTGCTTGAGCCTTCCGTTCTCATCATACTTTAGATACACCTCCATACTTGATCGCAATATTTGTTTGATGTCCCATCTGCAAACTTGAATCATTGTCATCTGGAACTGTGGTTAAAACGCGTACCAATGCAGATAACCAGATCTCTCCCTGATCCCTCCCTGATCTCTGGTCCCTTGGACATTTACACGACACATCAGAGTCATTCATAATCCTGAGTGGGCTTGCTTGGAGCACCTTCGTTCCACTGAACAGGACTGCGTTCCTGTGGGCGCTGCCGACGTCAAGTCTGTCTCTGCTATTGGGAAGCTGGATGGATTCCTTGAGTAGCGGCGTATATTCTCCCAACAACATAGCTTCATTAAAGATGCATGTGCCTTGGACAAGAAGAATATTAGCAGGAATCATTTAAAGCTGCTATCATGCTGCGATGATACGTCAGTGAGATAATATTACCAGCGGATAAACGACACTAACCAACAGAAACAAGGTCTCCGGGGAGAAGCTTGTCAGAATGGATGGTAATTCATTGTGAATGCCGGTAGCATTGAATGGGATACGGAGCGATAACCATTGTACGGAATTCTGTCAGAGTTTTCAAACGTTACAAGTGAAGTTAGCTTCGCAGTTGTTGATAGGAAGGAAAAAAACGCGCCTGCAAGACAACAGTACACTCGAACGTGACGAGCATGAATAGCGCAAATAAGCTGTAGGTAGTACCCATACTTCCAGGCACCAGAGTGCGACACGAAATATTTGGAAAACGAAGGGACCCGTCGCATGTTCGGCGAAAAGATCTGAGAAAGAGGGGATCGGAATGTTGAATTCATTTTTTTCCATATAGTGACTTCAAGGGTAGAATTGCGTCCAGATTAAGCCCAGTGGACTGTAAGAAGGTAGATAATGGTGGGCGCTGGGTGCATGGGTACGGGAGGCGAGGAAACACGACGGGATTCTTGCCGGCTACAACGTAAGTATCTCGTTGGTAGTTGAACGCGTAGGACATTGGCTCTGATGGAACGTCCTTGAGCAATGGGACAATCTCGCCTTGACCACGATGGACGTAAGGAACCAAGCGTATCAGTCTGCATCCTCGATAGACCACGATTTTAGAAGGATGTTATCTAAATCTACAAACATAACTGCACACCTTTTGCGTTGTTATTCATGCTATCGCGCCAGCACTCCATCGAGTGACCAGAAAACTTAAAGCATGACCTGCGCCCAGAGATACACAAGCTAGGAAAGTCCACTCCTCGCTTTTCAACCAGTCATCATACTTGATATAATATGCATACGCGAGAAGCGGATATAGCGAGAGGAATGGAATGGTGTACAAATGCGTGTAGCATGGAAGGGCGACATGTAAGCTGGCTTTAGCAATCTCATTAGACTGCACGGCTACAGAGGCCCTGCAGTTCAGCATGTTAGCATGAATTCAGAAACCGAATTTAATACTTGCATGTTCAGCCGGCTACCCAGATACTGTGAGTCTTCTGTCTAGGTCTGCATTACTGTTTTGAGGGAAGTGAGAGTGGATGTTCTGCGATGGATTAGCAGCATTCAATTTAAATAAGGAAGAGACTTACAGTATTTCAGCAAGAATTTGTTTGTAGATAGGCATTCGTATAGTGGTGTGAAGGAGTGCGTTGTCTATGGCTGGGTTTGGAGGTGGTGGGACTGCAGAGTAGTAACGACTGTTTTAGTGGATAGGTTCAATTGATATTTTGTAAGATTTAAAGAGTAAAAGTGCGTGCGTACCAGGTAGAAGGAACAGCTACCAAGGTGACACAAAAGAGAACTTGAGGCATGAGAGCACAAAGAGCGAAATGTGTGCAGTTGCTAGGCTAAATCTTTCGAGGAGGGTGCTTGTGCCATTACGATGAATCCTACTTGTAATTGATCATATAGATAGGGTTGTTGAGCTTCGGTTACACAACGCACATGCGGTTTAAATGTTGAGAGAACTAAGTCAATAGATAGTACAGTACACTAGGGTACGGACAGGGCCGACAGGCATCTAATAACGTTAGCTACATGGGCGCTTTGCCATATCTGCCGTATCTTCATATTTACCTACATCTCTCCAGATGGTGCGTTGTAGTGACCTCGATTCCAACTAGCACACACTGCTAAACCGCTGGAAAGTTCATTAAACCAGTGGGCGTTAGATTTCAGGTAATGTTCTTCAGATCACCACGTATCATTAAACTAAGGTCATACATGTTAGGGAAATTATGAATGTATCATTCAAAGCATCGCGATATCGATTACAAAGGAGCGTGGGGCTACGCTGAGAGTTGGACCAGAGCTGGAAATTCTGTCAGTACTCGGAGTCTCGTGCACTGTGATAGCGGGTATATTAAGATCCTGGATATGGCTGCTACGACCATTTCCTTGAAGGTACAAACACACGCATATAAACATATAACCTAGCACAGGGGACACCATCCTTCATTAATATTAATCATTCCTGGGAGGTACCGGCCAAGATCTTGGCCAGCGACGATACCATGGGAATTATCTGTGATATTGCTGCGAAGTGTCTAATTGCTGTACATACTCGAATGTTGCAGCATATTGATATACTGTTTGCTGCAAGTTTGCTGCCAATCCATTGTCATTTCTTGGAGTCGGGGACTGGCGCTTTCCAGCGCCGCTACGATTGGTCACTGATGTTGAACTGAGATGAACACCATTGGGTATTCGGACATACGCTGAGGGAGTACAAGCAGCGCCGGACGTAGGTCTGAGAAGGTGGTCTAGATCTTGCAATCTACGGCGCGATGGATTCTGAACATACACGTGGTGTTTGTACACATATGGAAAGTCGGCAGCTTCGTCATGGCAAATATTGGGTCCCCTTGCCGAGTCCGCCGAGACGCCCTCAAAACAGTCACATGTCGGAATTCGGAAGACCTGCCCACTGCTGCGAGTCTGCGTCATCTACTGCGTTGAACTCTACACACAGACCAACTGTTCCCACTTGAACCTCACGCGCACGTGTGACACGGTTCTCAAAGCGCAGATAATCTATGCGTGTCTCTAACCTATATATATCGCGTTACGACCAACCTTACAATCATCATTTAATTTAACTGACTTCTCATCGGAAATATTGGATCCGTCGGCGAGTCACACTAAACATTCGGATACGTTTACAGGATACCGCCCGAATTATTCGAGTATCTAATTTGCAAATATAATATCAAAGCATACGAATCAAGCCTTGACACTGTTTTGCAGCCCCTACAGTCTGGACAGTGGCTGTATTCCCAACCCACTTAGTATTGATCGAGATGGTTAGGCGTAGAGACGAGGAACGTGCAGTCATCCACACTTACACAGACAAGTGGAGCATTAGATTCATTTGTCACCGAATTAGGAGGGGACATCGTTTATGACAAGGGGTGCGGTGAGTCGTCGTCCTATGTACCCCTCCCATGCGCGTCCACTCTTGCTCATTTCCGTAGACTCAATCAGGTCCGTTTCCTCAAGACGGCCAAATGTAAATACAGAAATGGATACCTTGTTGTCAAGATATTCATCAAACAAGACCCTGGAGTCAGTCTCAGGACCTACCAAAGAAAGCTGAAGAGTATGTAGTTTCAAGGCATGATGTGCAACCTGCTGAATTCGAGCAGCGGACAGGGAAGCTCTACTGGACATCCCAAATATCTACACCTATCAAACATTCCTTGGGACAGAGAAAGCGGTATATCTCGTTCGTCAATGGGCTGCAAGTAATTTGTATGATCGTATAAGGTGCGACCCGAGACGCATGTCTTGGATGAAATGCTCATTTAAGCAGTACTCGGCCATTTCTCTCTCATCGAGAAAAAGTGGATCACTTACCAGCTTCTCACCGCACTCTCTCAAGCACACCTGTAGAAAACGCCGCATGGAGACATCAAATCAACAAACATCTTGGTTACGTCGTCAAATTAGATCTATGTGACCGACTTTGCTGGATCTTTGAAACCTACGTGACTCCCTCTAGATGATCCTTTGGATTTCTCGTTCTTCGTACTTCGTCGGAAACATCACTCGATTTCAGCACTACTGAACTCCGTGCAAAATTGGAATTGGCACGCATCGTTTCGCCCAATTTAACATACTCTGACGCGAGATCGACGCATATAATGATGTATACTGTTCACAAAGATGAGAATAACAACTTTGAGAAGACATGATATACTCACAATCAGTGGATACTTGGCCGCCTTGCTTTCAACAAAAGCCTAGGGAAACAGTCCTCAAGACGAGTCAGTGGACTTTTTTTTGGCATGAACTGCAGCAGTATCGCTAGGGGGAACAGCCTGCAGTATTCTGCCAAAGATAATAATGTAAGCAAAGGGACTGAGCAAATGAAACTAAGCGCACTCGTCAATAGCAACGATGACGGCGACATAATCAGAACGCGTCAAATTATCAGCACGCCCTCCTTCTGCGATTTTAAGGACGAGATATGGACAGCCCTGGGTACCATTACGATGAAGATTGCGGTTATAGAACACTGAAAACTCCGTGACACGCTGAGAATCATCCTCACTGCTTGATACAAACACCGTGTGCTTGCCAACATCGGCATGACTGCCAAAATACCTTTCTATAAATGCGATGTCAAAACCTCCTCCGGCAACATCTCTAACAAGGACTTCAACGTAGCCTGAGTGACGGCCCCAAGAGCAAAGGCATGCGGTGATTGATCTGTCAAGAGACATGGCAAATTTGAGTTGAATGGGGGCAGATAATAATGAATTGGGAGAATATGGTGAAATCGGGCATGTATATAGAATGGAATGTAATGCAGGTAAGGGTGCTTGAAAAATGGGGTGTATTGAATGATAGAATTCGAGTAGGGCGTCTAAAGGATAGGCCTGCGCAACATCGATGACGCGCAACGTGTACACCCGCTCCACAAAACGTACACAATGAAAAGATGACGCCATATGCCAAGGAACACATGCGCCGATAGCCTAGCCCAATGTGATCGATGACAAGGCCCCTCGGAGTTATGTAAGGGTATCATCGTATAAGGAAACCCTACACAAGCGACTCAATTAAGTAATGTACATACGTGCAACGTCACATTTGAAAAGTAGCCGCAGCATTGAGCTCAGGATGTCAATGCGCGCGAGGCTGTGCGAGGACGTAGGTCGCATTGGAGGGGGGGGTGCGAAGGGTGGTGCCTGTGAGAAAACCTCGCCCGCGGCCTTGCCTCCTTCGGTCACTATCTCAAGCTAGGGACATCAGATAGAACGTGGAAGTTGGGACGTGCGGCAGAAGATAATGCGTGCGTTGGTGATAGACGGCAGGGGGTCGTGCTTTGGGCGTGAAAATTGTGTAGAGAGCTTGGGAATCGGGAGCCTGATCGTCCGGGTGCGGAGAACCGAGGCAGAGCGGCATCCACGCTGGATTAGGACGCAAGGGTTAGGCGCGAAGAGAACGTGAATCTAGGGACACAACGTTAGACGCTGAGCGGAGCTCTGCAGTTGAAATATGAACTGACGTTCCAGATTATCCAGAGGCGCTGGGAGCAGCTGTGGCTCGGGGGTTACAGAAGCCGTCCGCTTGGCTTGTATGCTCAACCGCCCCCTCGGCAGCAGTTCGCCGATCCCTTGTAGTAATGTTACCCAAAGCGGTATACCGGCATCTGCCGAATTTCAAACTCCTCGCTTCGCCTGCCAAATCATCAGACTGGTTACGACTCCGAGTCTAGGACCAGGCATCGGATGCAAGTTTTATTCATTTACGTCTCTTCTTCATCTCATTTTCGATGCATTACAGGAGGACGGCCTGAAGGAACACGTGACAGATAATGTGAGTTCCCATTCTTTACTCGTCTAATTACCTGTTGATCCTCAATATTTATGCCAAGGCTCAACAGCCTGATTGCGAGGCAGGTTTCTAATCTTGACTCCTACCACGTAATCTGACCATGCGTGATGCAGATCCTCACCATCAGCACGACAGCCCGCGACGCATGCACAACCGGGGACTTGCCTCCTGCTGATAGACTATTAACACAAGCTATTGGCATCGATAGCAATGACTACACCTCTTATGCGAATCGCTCGTTTGTCAAGGCACGAAATTCAGACTGGGACCACGTACTTGAGGACGTGCTCAAAGTGAGATACACCATTTTGTTGCGACCCTTTTAACACTGACTAAATTATATGGTGATACAGAGCACCAGTATTCAGCCATCCTTGATGGGCTGTATATCCAAGGGCATAGCCCACTGTGGAAAAAAACAGTTCCAGGACGCGATGAAAGCATTTGACCTTGCGTTCATGTACGTGGAGGCAGATTTGAATAAAACTCGTCTTCTACTCTTGATCGAGGTACGTCAACTGTGTCTCATGTACTCGCTACTCACACAGCAACTGTCAGGTCATCGCTTCTTTTAATGCAAATAAACATGACGAGGCGATTATGCGCGTCCAAGAGCTAGCTACCACTCGTCCCAATCCAAATTTTCTTGTGTGTGGTATCGTGAAAGTGAGTGCTCCTGACACACTCAACTCCAGATTCATGCTTCGATGCTGATTTTGCGAACCTCGCACTCTAGGCTTATTTACACGTCCAACTGGGAATGAATGCATTAGATGACGCACGTCACAACGAAGCGGTTGGCCACTTCACTGCTGCCGTCAACGCTATCGGTTTCTCGTCTATGTCGGCCATCCACTCTAGATACGATGTCTTCGCGGTGGTAGGTTGATTGAAACGCAACCGGAAATCTTGTCACCTCACTGTGCTTTTTCTAGTTATTCGGGTGGGGTCTTCGGTCTTTTTGGCGAACTGCACACCGGAATTGGTGCAATGCGCTCCTTCGGGTAGGTAAACTTCCAGAAGCCATCAAAGCATACCGATACATGATGGACAGGGCTGATGAGGCTACGAAAGCATGCCTTGATTGGTCCACTGGCAAGTCTTCGTGATATCAACCACGTATAATTCTCAACCTCATTTTACTCAGCTTTCAAGCAAGATTGCAGCAAGCTTTATGCTGCCGCTGGAGTGGCTGACCTCGCTGGGAGTGGAGATGCTGCTCTCGCTGCAGGTAATTATGACAGGGTCATCGAGCTTTACTCCGCGGCAATCAACCTCAATTTAGCAACCGATACAATCTTTGCGAACCGCAGTACAGCGCGGTCGGGAAAAATACTATGGAACGACGCATTCCTCGACGCAGAAAAGGTGTGATGACAGCAACTATTTCGTCCTCGACGCTCATTTTGGTGATACGCAGGTCATCGAACTCGACCCCTCATCTTACTTTGGATATCAGTTGAAGCATGCGGTACTTCATGACGCACACCGATATGATGAAGCCATCGAGGCCTTCAAAATCATGATCTCCAAGTTGGAAAATACTTTCGACACGCAAACCCAAAGTACGCCTCAAATAGCACATCCTTCAAACATTGTTGACTTCTTGTCCAGATTTGGGCCAAAAGCATGTTGGGCCATCCGAAGCAGAACGTGCTATTGAAGAGAGCATGACCGCTCAGCTCAACGATGCCCCGTATCTTCTAATCAACACATCCACTGGGCGCTTATGCAATAGAGAGACGCAGATCGATACCTTCAAAGCGAGCACGGAGTACAAGGAGCTGTTATCATCCACAATGAAGGATACAGATCTCCTAATGCAGCGCATCCAAGACGTGGTGGCGGCGTACTTCCGTTATGTCATGCTATCGATGAATCATCGAAGATGCATGTGCGAACTTGAACTTCGAAGATTCAGCTGAGTACGAATAATCATTTGATATTGCCCAACTTCTTAATACCCTGCTTGCAAAGTCTCTTGCTATCGATAAGCATTATGAACTCAATCGAGAATTCAGCGGTCCGAGAACGCTCTCAATGGCCGAGTCACCCCAATTTACATAAAGCTTCCTTCTGTATTGGGTGAGCAAGCGCCGCCCTATACTAGTCTTAGATATCAGCCTCGTGCCGTATCATTGATGATCGATCTCCTCAGTGGTTGCGCCTCGAGGTGGTTATCCTGGCCATCTCCATTTCCGGAAGCCGACCTGTCTGCCCTAGATGGACCACTAAAAAACTGCAGATTACTTGGATCCCACTCACGCCACTATCCGCACTATGGATTTCAAGGAGTTTGAAGTTGATATCGAGCGAGCCATCGAGAACTCCGAGCTATCAAAATCATGCACTATTACAGAAACTTTGGACTGGGTCGATTCAACGTGGTATGCGCCTCAAAGTAGGAATGCTCGCTGGATGGACCTAATCGGCGACTATGCCAGTGCAGAACCTTTCGTCATAGATGGTACTCGTTTGACTTGTCAGTCGTCTAACCTTCACGTTGATGCTGATATACATCCCAGGTCATTCTTTACTCCAAGTTGTGCTTGATGATTGTCTGCTCGCACTAGCGAAGGATGACGGTATGTCATTGTGGTCTAGTGCAGATAGTTTTTATCTGACATGACTCGGGCGATGGCACTATTGAAGATCCATCATCTCAAATCATTCATGCGATCTATTTACTAGAACACATACTGCAGAACTTTCGAAATCGATCAGCGAACTTCGATATCGTTTTCATTGATGGTGAGGCCGCTTCTCATCTCACCATCTGAGTCTATCTTACTGATGTCTTAGGCAACCGACACCTAGTAGTACTGCGAGCGGGCGAGTTGGAATTTATTGTTGCATCTCGAGCCCTAGCTAGAAGACTCCTATATAAGCACCTCCAGTCGCTGGATTCGGTGAATACCTTCACCTTTACGAGTCTCTTCGACAAAAAGTGGCTCGATTATCGTGCTCGAGTGAAGGTAGAACTTCGTCTCACAAAATGGCGGTACACTGAAGGAAGGAGTCGGACAATTCGCTGCCCATCAAATACTCACTCAACGATTATTTATCTTTGATTTACTGGCTAGTGGCTTGGCAATGGCGCCGCTCCAGGGTGCTAATTTCAAGGACACCAAGGTCACACCGCGTCTTCCTCCCTGTTCTATTCTCTTACCTGATTGTTTGTCATGCTATAGATCTTAACTTTCGTTTTTGAATCAAAGCTTCGCTCAAGCCATGGAGGGCATTTCCCCAATGCTGTTTTATCCGCGGGCGTCGCTGCCAGGAACATTCTTACTAGTCATGAACAAGGGCCATTCGATCAAGTCCGCAGCTGTGTTCTTGGTGAAGCATCAGTATCTCCATCTGTCTTCGACCTCTGCGCGACCTTGAAGGATGTTGGATTGTCATATCTTTCAGCGTTCAAGAGCGACACTCAGCCGTTGCTACTTGCTGTTTTTATCATCCACGTCCTTCTTCTCAAGAATGTCTCCGTCCAGGATCGAGCGCGGCGCCTGCCGTCAATGAAACCTGACCTTTTCACTTCATTGACGAAATCCTTCCTACCTCATATTCTTCGGGCGACAGAAGCAGTCATTGTAGCAGACGATGCATCCCTCGACATTGATATTCGTGTATTCCTTTGTATCTTGCGCTATCTTTCCGAGCATCCAGCTCAATCGTTGACGGAGGTCCTGGGACCGACTGTGGTCAAAGATGGAATTCATGGATCGAAGTATGGACAGTCAGGCTGACACAAGGGGGACCTTCAAGCCAGATGCGTGGCAACGCGAGGTGCTTGACGCTGTCGACCAAAATATGTCCCTTCTCGTCGTAGGTTAGTAACGCTTTGTTTCGGAGGTAGAACAGCCACTCAATTATTTATTGCTCCTACCAGTGCGGGGAAGACCTTCATCTCGTATTACGCTATGGAGAAGATTCTCCGAGGGTCTGATGACGGGATACTCGTTTATATTGCACCGACAAAAGCTCTTGTCGCTCAGGCTGCAGCCGAGATTTATGCTAGGAAGGATCTTAACGGTCATGAGTACTCATGTACTCATATTCAACAAGTGATCATCGCTGATTCAATTACAGGGAGCTGCTGGGCCATTCATTCCCGTGACTACCGGGTCCACGATCCACAGAACTGCCAAATCCTTGTCACCGTCCCTGACATCCTGGCGATCATGCTCTTATCTCCTCCACTCGCCAAGATGTGGACCCCCCGACTCAAATAGTAAGTTCAACGAATGGCTCGAGAGCGTTCAGAAAGCGGGTGGGTTCCAGCACAAGTTCGTGCATTATCCCCATCTATATTCGCACTTGAGAAAGTTCTACCACAACATCCACGAGAAGCCGAGAGATGCCTTCCAACAAGACTACAGAAAGGATGCGATTTCTGCATCCGCTGTCAATTCTTTCGTCCAGTGCACATTCTCTCCCCTCCGATCTTGCATTGGAAGCAGTGGATACATTGCATTTATATCATGCTCTAAGCACGTGCAAAGCCCTCCAGCCCTCCATTCTCGCTGCCCTCGATCCTGCGGTATTTTTTTCGTCTAGCAAACTGCTTCAGCAGAAGGATGTAATCCAATACGAAGAGGCTCTAAAACGGCACCTCGTCCCGTTGTTGTCCTCCTTCGATTCGCAAGACTCCGGGACGCCGTTGTCGCGCGTCATTGTCCAGCTCCAAGATGATGATTCATCTCGTCTCCCAGACAGAATGTTGAACTCTGCACCTAGTCGTGTTGTATCTAGCGAAAATATGATTCATCTAGTTGCCGATCTTCACGCACCAGGGGGACCTCGTGAGTACCTGACGCACTTTCTTTCTCTATGTTTGTGAGATCCTTATTCATTTAGCCCGGTATATTCTTCTCATTCGATCGAAGCAATTGCAAATATATGGCCAAAATTTTGAACAGGGTGCTCGAGATCAAGGAAGACAGATGGCGCAAAACTAGTCCGGAATGGAAACGCAAAATGGCACAATATCATGCATACCTCCAGAGCGCAAAAGAGCGGGAACGCCAAGCTGCACGAGCATCGAAACACAAGGCCGATGAAGAGGATAAGCGTGCTGACACGAGTGAATGGCAAGCATCCTTTAGACCTGATGATCCCGTATCAGACTTCTCATTCGCTGGTCAAGGTATTTCGTACACTCCATCGGAGCTTGAAGAGGATATCGCCGATTTTGCGAGGCGGAAACTCTTTCTACCTGAATGGGCAATGAAATGTTTAAGGCGGGGGATTGCTGTTCACCATGCTGGTATGAACAAAGGGTATCGCTCTCTAGTTGAGAGGTGAGCTTTTTTAAAAAAATGTAGCACCAGTGTCTGACAGCAGATCAATCTCTTTCGCCGTGGCTTTGTGCGCGTGATTTCCGCAACGGGCAAGTGTTCCATTACTTCTGTAAGGTTTCTAACCTTAAGACTGCATTTACAGGCACTCTTGCCTTAGGTATCAATGCCCCGACCAAAACTTCGATTTTCTGCGGCGATTCACCCTTCCTCACTGCACTCATGGTTCGTTTCCCATATTTTCACTTATTCGTTATTAATTGATGGCCCTAGTATCGACAATGTGCGGGACGCGCTGGACGGCGAGGATATGACACCCTCGGTAAAGTCGTTTTCTATGCTCTTCCCATGAGCAGGGTACAGAGACTGGTTTTCTCGAAACTGCCATCCCTCTCTGCGAGTTTCCCTGTAACATCGACTCTCGTTGTACGCCTGTTCAATCTGCTGGAAGGTTCCGATTACTCTACGACTGCTGTCGCTGCTGTGCAACGGCTCTTCCGCCTCCCACGAATCGGTTTTGGCTCTGAGGAAGGAAGATACCAACTTTTGCACCATATAGGTTTCTCGATCGTCTACTTGCGTCGTGCTCATCTGCTCGACGAGCAAGGAAAGCCACTCGATCTTTTTGGAATAGCTGCATACCCGCGATGCATGTCTGACTGGACTGGGGATTTGTCTATCGCTGAAGAGCTCCTCACCCAAGATATCCACACCAATGCCAACGACTTTACTTCATATGCCAATCGTTCGTTCATTATGGCTCTGAAGCACAACTTGGACCACGCCCTTGAGGATGCATCAAGGTGAGATGGACCCACCCATCATTGTCCTCTTACGAAAGGCTAACATTCATCCGTGACATAGTCAATCAACATTAGGTCATCATTGACTGGCTTCATCTCGAAAGGCATCGCCCTCTGCGGAAAAGGTCACGTCCGAGAAGCAAGGGTGGGATTTGACGTTGCATCTATGTTCACGAACCAAGATTCAGCAGGGTCACCAATGACTTCAACCGTGTCATACCATGTAGAGGAGGCGTGCAACATCCTGCGCAGTCTCATTCCTAACTCTTTGACTGCAACGGATCAGAAGACGATGCAACCACCTGCCCATGGGAAGAAGGAAACTGTCTATGAAAAAGACGACAAGAGCTGCAAGCGTGACACCACGTCCGCGTAAAGGTTTGTTGTTTGGAATTGCTTGCTAGCTATATTACCTGACGAGTTCCACGAGCAGCTTTCGAGAACGTGTCGAATGTCATTCAAAGCACTCCAAAGGAGGCTGTTGTGTTCGACCTCGAAATAATTGTCGGTCAACTTTGTAAGCTTTGTCAATATCATTTACTAAGCACCATTGACTGATCAAGCAGAAATTAACGTCCGTCTACTTGAACTTCTGGGTCTGGTCTTACTGAAGATCAAGCTTCTGGATGCTCTGAAGCATATCTGCTAGAGCGTCAATCCGTCGGTCATCTTCAGTGTTCGCATGCGCGCTTTTTGGAATTGACATCATCCATTTCTTGTTTTTCATCTATTTTGACTCATATTACAGTTCATTCACTCTCCACAAATGATACTACCCTGTAGCACAATTTTCGCGGTCAATAGGGTATTTGAAGTGCATTTTAATAAGCAACTTACCCTGTCAAGTAGCAAAAACGAATGACGGAGAGCCAGATGCATTCTCGTTTGCGCATTGATCTCCTCCTAAACACCAAACAACAGCATGATTGCCAACATAGGCTATGCTGTATGAAGTGCCAGCGTGTTCTTCCGTTTGACCAAACACCCAAGCTGCTTTTCCCTCATCATTGGTGCTCCGTGTCATGTGTGGACAATGATATGTCTGTACACATTGAGAACCATGCGGTGCCAGCTCCTCAATCTCTGAGTATAGATTGAACCCTCTTCTCATATACTTGGCCAGACCATTGACGGTATCGAGGTTTGTGGCATTTTGTTTGTACATCCTTGGATGTATTAATCCGGCCATATTGAGCGTCCACCCAGGGTAGGCACAAAAAACTGCTTCTGCTGATATGAAATTCATGATGACTGTGCTGTGGGATTGGAAAATGGGTGCGACTGCCGATGGTAAGCTGGTGACAATGATGTCGACTCGTTGCTCATTTTTGTGAAGCCTGAACAGTTTAGCTATGTCCGTGTTGTTGTACGGACCAGGATGTGGACGACGAAACTTCCGTACCATCTTGTATCCCTCTGTTTCCTTGAAGAAGCTGACGAGTTCCTGGAAAAATGGCAGAGTGATGTACACATCCAAATCATTGATTTCAACAGCTCCCCGCTTGGCCTGAACCATGTTCAAAGCCGATGAGCCGGATACCACAGCACCTGTGGTTTTTAGTAACCTGATGAAGTGTTGGATATTTTTCATGTAGCGTGCAAATACTATCAGTCTTCGCCTCTGAATATATTCATCAACTCCAATGTGAAGGATAGGGGCTGCGCTCGCAAAGAGTGATAGTTCCGTGAGGTCAAGAGAGTCTAATATGTTCTCCCTGATCTCCTTACACAAAGAGGTGAAGTATGATGCACTTGACATAGACATGGCGAAAATGGTACGTCGTGCAAATTTCGACGTTTGGTATGCGGGAGATGTCAATGACTAGGCGCCAGGCCCCTGTATGCAAATGTGCACGTGGTAATTCATCCCGGTCGCAATTTCCTAATCTTCGTCCAATCGGTTACTTCCCTTCTCTTCCAGATCTACACCTACGTACTTCTACGTACTCGTATCTGTGCAATGTCAAACACACAATGAACAATATTTCTTTCGAAGTGACTGGTGTGCCTGCTCCCCTCGCGTCTTGTTCCACAACGACCAGCCCATCAATATTTTTTGTTCTTAAACCCAATAGGCCGCCCACATGCATCTCTCGAATCCCGCAATCTCCTCACAGCCACCTACGCCGTCCTTACATGCACCGTATTCGAACCTACCCCATCAAAGATTTTCTAGGCCTCTACACCGAGTACGACATGCCCGCCAGCTTATTCCTGCAGTGTTGAGGTAGCATATACATCGTTTTCCAGTTCACATGGCGCTCACAGACAACTGTCCTTTTCATCGATACACAATCAGTAGAGATCACAGACGTGACAAAATCAGGCGACAGACCGTCGTCACCCGCCGGGCTGTGCACGCTACGGATAACAAGAGTTAGTTTATTTTGTTCAAGGCGCGTGCCTACTACCCCTTGGGGGGTTTTATTACGCGCAGTCACAGCGCAAAAGCTTGTGCTTGAGCAAACACCTAAGTTGGGGATATATATCGTGCTTACTCTCATCCAACTATGTGATAATGGCCTCATCATTGAGAACCTTCCCAAAGCAGAAAGATACACTACCACGAAGCTTTACTGCGACATTAAACTGAAGTATATCGTCCAGATTCGTCGAGGAGGGTCACCGTGATTGGGATAGGCGTAATCGCTCAAAGGTCGATTGTGGGCTCTACATGATATTAATCCGCTAGCTCAAGGCTAGCGGCGCACTTCTCCTTGATCCACTATCGACACCCACTGCTACTGAACTTACAACGTACAGTAACTGTTCTCAACTTATCATCGTAAAGGCTCTCACTCTCAAACGAGTAGATCTCAAAAAATGGGTATGCTCGTTCTCTTAGTATTTCTCACTACTGATCATATTTCCTGTGGCTCATTTCCACACCAGAGGTTATCCCGTTTTGCCTGAATTCCCAATCCTTGAAGAGCTCTTAAACAGCCTTTATGACTATCACCACACAAAATTCTTTGTCACACTCGGTACATTTTTTTCGCACCTCATTCCTTGTCTTTGCCATTGCAATATCACCCAATGACCGCGTCCTCGTAAGCATGACGAGACAGCGCTATTGTGGAACCTCGCCAAGATCAACCTATCAGCTCGCCCCTACAGCATGCAAAATTAGTTAATTCTGTATTGGTTTGGGAAGATGAAAAGCTACTAGCCACTGGCAGCCGCGACACAAATAGGATGTTCCTGTGATTGTTAAAGAAGCCAGCCTGGACGACCTTCGGATCCAAAGGCGAGTTCATATACATGCCTCATTGTATTATATTCACACAAGTGAATTCGAACATGCTCTGCCAGACGAATACGTTGGCACTCTATGTACGTGACACCTTCATTAAAGACCTTGTTGTTCTTGACATATACACTCTAGGCTAGTGTTACATGCCCTCCGGTTCAACGATGTCCACCTGCTTTTGAACTTATCGGGTTTTTCCAATCGAGTCCCACCAGATCATTCTCGTGTATGTTATGACCATTATCAATTTGATTTGGTTCCCCTGACCTCCGTGTTTTCACTTCTCTGCACAAAGCTGTTCCCACTCCTCAACACTGTCAGGCCGCACACTTCTTGGCCATTCATTTTATCGCAACCGCAGCCCCTCCATTGCTCATGCTGTGTCATCGTCCTACCCTCTTGACTAGTAGGCTCGAAACATTTTGAAATGCGCAGATGAAGTGATGAAGTTACCGAATTGCAAGAATGCAGCCCTGCGGTTGTTGAGGATTCGTATGCGAAGGGCAAAAGTGTATGTTCTCCTCCCTCCTTGATTGTTCTACTCCACGTAATTTCACCTAGACAGACGCTTGCGTGAGGGAGAATCCTACAAGACTATTCCCCCCGAAGATAGCTACCCCAAGTAGCTCACGACCTTCAAAGCCCAATGTCACACAGCCGTCTTTGCAACCATATGCAACTGACTCTTCGTCGTCCACCGCACAAGCCGTTGGTGATGCTACTGGCATAGCTGCGACTTCAACGTCCCCACTCCCAAATGCAAAGACTGGACTCTGGACTCGCTTCTGGCTTTTTATTGGTTGTCTATTAAATAATTCCTGAATACACAGATGCATCATCATTAGATCTCCTCATCTTCACACGTCGTATGCTCTCGACGGACTTTTGTTATGCTCTACCCACTCTGATACGTTTTGAGCTGTGCTTCGTATATGAACCAATACTGAACGCCTCATCGTCTGCATCTGAAATATATACTATCTACTCAAATCGAATGCGAGCCTCCTCCATCTTAGGCTTTTCTCCACTTTCCTTGGTGCAGACTTTTTCCCACTGTGGGATAAACTCACGTAGTTTGTGTTTCTTGCTCTGTGACTCGCTGAATGGATGTAAGCTCTTGTTTGAGTGTGCTGTCGTAGCGCTCGCCTGTTGCACGGAGATCATCAACAATGCACTCAAGTTCTGTGCGGGCCTGGATGAACTCATTGAGCTGGGAGTGTGCATCTAAGTTCCGTGATATTTTGAGAGATTGAAGGTAATGTCTTGCTCACGAGATTTGTTGCTCTGGGCACTATGACCGTGTCAATAGTAGACTCGATGAGAGAGAGGGCTGAATGGACCTGTATCTTCTTCTCCCCGGCATCAAACTGCTCCCTGCTCATGTTGGCACCGCGTACTTCTGCTCGCCTCTCTTCATTAATCACCTTCAAAGCCTCCACAACCTGCTTCAACTCTGATACAGTGCTGATTCGAGACACCGGAGCTCCTTGTCTTTGTCCTGAAACTTCCTCTCTTCCTCTAGTACGATGGGATGCGCTGGACTAAAATACGAAATTTGATTTTCACAAAACAAGCGAGAAAGATTCCGAGTTTCAAATTCTTTCGAACAGACAAGTGGAATACGAAGAACTAAAAGCAAACAAATGAAACAAAGTTGTCGGTCTTCGGATTTCGAAGTCATTTGTTTACATTTGGCTACATTTAAGAAACACATGAGTTACTGAGCGTGTACAACACTGACTCGGACCGTTGTCAGCAGGCATGGATGGACTCAGATGAACCTGAAGTCCTGGAGCAAATTCCGCCACCTCCCGAGACCATATGGCAAGGGTATAACGAGCTTGGCCACTACACTCACATTGTTCTCCGTACTCAGCTCGGTGATAGCGCAAGGCTTAATGCCGCCAAGAGGGAATGTTTGCGGTTTATTCGCATAGAACGGGTGCTATCACTCTATTTGCCGTTGCAACAGCTGATACTGAGACGCCGGAAAATTTAACGAAGAATGTTAATGTTCTGTCAGAGAACGAGTTGCTTACCATTCAGACCAGCATACATGATATGGTTAGTGCCCTCGATGATGCTGTTCATCTCTCAGCAGACCCTCCGGACCACGACTCGCCTCAACTCTCCCGGGCCCACACAGCTTATACTGGTCGACGAGGAAGACCGCGGATAGATATTGAACTTGAGCTCCTCGAAATTGCATTGAGCATGCGTGGCTCAACCCATCTAGCATCTGCGGAGGAATGTCGGTGCTTCGAAGTGAGATTTGGTTCGAGTCAGCTGTCTTCTTGACGCCGAGTAAGTGGCAGAATCAGGAAACGTCAACGTTGAACCTTTGCAACAGTACGGAAGACAGGACTGCTGCGCTCACTTAGTCATGTCACAAACACATATAAGGCGATAAGACTGGATCCTGCACTTCGACCCAACTCGAATAAATAAGCTATTTACAAGTGTTTTTTCTGACTTGGAAGTCACATGACCGAGAGAACGTGGCACTTTTTCCTTGAGTGGCGTCACCACTCAAGGAAAAAGTGCCACGTTCTCTCGGTCATGTGACAGCATCATTTGCGTCACAACTATCGGTAGTTTACCAGATCATCAACTAGGATATTCTATTCGTGATGCAAAAACTGATGGACCTTTTGCAAGCTCAAGTTTACTGCATCAATTCGGACCTACGGTTAACATTTTGGCATCCTTAAGATATGATATCAACCCGTTTGGGTGATCCAAGCACTGGATGGCATATTTAGTGTGAACATCTTCAACATCGTTCATCCAACAAGTTCGCCGCTCCCCGCTCCCTCATACCCACTTTCTACTAACGCCATGATAATCTCGAATGATCCCAGTTGGTGGCCACTTGTCAATGCGACTCGCATTGGCAGCTATTTTGTTCATCATGATAGACGTCAGACTTTTTTACTCCGAAGACGACTTCAGCAAAACAAGATTTTGGATGAACGGTAAAATGACAGTTCAAAGTAATGTTGACAATACAAAAGCCCAAAATTGGGTGTTTCTACATCTGCCGTGGTTGAGCTAGTAGTAGGTCACGAATTTCCATTAAAATACGTCTATCGTCCTCCCTCTTCCTCACTTCTGCATTCAGATCAAGTTTCATGGCTTCAAAGTCCAGCTTCAAAACGGCAATGTCACCCCCCATGTGACCTATGGTTCCGTCCATGTGACCTATGGTTCCGTTCATGTTCTGCATCAGGCCATGGGTGTGACCATCACGGTCTAGAACGTCCTGGACAAGCTTGTGCGCCGTATCTAATAAGGCTCCATGTGCTGAGACGGTTTCGGTAAGGCTGGAGACATTGTCTGTGATGTCGGAGACGTCAGACGTCAAAGCTCCTATTCTTGCCTCTATGCGCCTCAACGTCTCGCCCTGACTTTGGTAGCTGTCTTGGAAATGTTAACATCCTGTTTTAGATTGAATGATCGAATAGTACTTACCTGCGTCTGTTGCAATCAGCATAGTAAACGAGTTATTGTGGCCGAGCCCCTTCAGTGACAAATTCCGTATTATACGGGCCACCCGACCTACATAATATCCCGTATGAGACGGGCCAGCGGATTATGGGCCCATGTTGTGTATATTCTCGATGATGACAGATGGGCCGGGACACATATTATTTCCGATGGAGACGGGTGGGCCCATGTATGCCAATGATATATATATCCTTGATGTTGACGGATGGGCCGGGGGAATATGATCATTCATGGAGATGGGTGGGCCCATCAGGGTAATATGTAGAGTAGGATATTATAGACAGCTGGGCTGAAGAGAGATGTAAGGCAAATATTGTTATATAGACGGGCGGGCCGACGGGGGTGTATTACATATATGGGTGGGCCGAGGTAGGGGAATATTACATAGATGGGTGGGCTGACGCGGGGTGTATTACATATACAGGTGGGCCGACATAAAAAGTATTACATATACGGGTGGGCCGACGAAAGGGATATCAAATAGACGGGTGGGCCGAGGGTGTGATAAAATATTTATTACATAGACAGGTGGGCCGAGGTGGGGTATAATTATATAGACGGGTGGGCCAACATAGGATGTATTACATAGACGGGTGGGCCGACGTGGGGGATAATACATAGATGGGTGGGCTGATGTGGGGGAATTGTACATAGATGGGTACATATATGGGTGAGCCTAGATATGTATAAATGTCAAATTTTCAGTGCAAAACCCCAAACCGAGATTTACCAACCCCTGAACCCCGAAATTGTGGACTGCCGGGTCTCGGGTTTCGGGGTTCGGGGGTCCCGGAACTCGGAACTCAGTATGTGAGACAACAAAAATATATTTCAAACACGGGTAAGTCAATGTGTTTGTCAATCAACTTGATTGTAAATTATATTTTATTGATCTCCCCAAATTTCCCAAGTTCTGAGTTCCGAGCTCCGGGACCCCCGAACCCCGAAACCCGGCAGTCCACAATTTCGGGGTTCGGGAGTTGGTAAAATGTGTATGGATAGATGAAAGGTTGATTTAAACATTTTTGAAAGATGTCCCATATGAAATGTTAAGTCCCGAGTTTTGAACTCCGGGTTTCGGGACTCCGGGTTTCGGGACTTCGGGCTTCGGGACTCGGCACTCCAGAAACCCGGAAATCGAAACTTGGGACTTGACATTTCATATGGGATATCTTTCAAAAATGTTTAAATTAACCTTTCATCTATCCATACACATTTTACCAACTCCCGAACCCCGAAATTGTGGACTGCCGGGTGTCGGGTTTCGGGGTTCAGGGGTCCCGGAGCTCGGAACTCGGAACTTGGGAAATTTGGGGAGATCAATAAAATATAATTTACAATCAAGTTGATTGACAAACACATTGACTTACCCGTGTTTGAAATATATTTTTGTTGTCTCACATACCGAGTTCCGAGTTCCGGGACCCCCGAACCCCGAAACCCGGGACCCGGCAGTCCACAATTTCAGGGTTCGGGGGTTGGTAAAATGTTTATGGATATATGAAAGGTTGATTCAAACATGTTTGAAAGATGTCTTTCATCTCAAAAATCGAGTCCCGAGTTCCGGGTAAGACATCTTTCAAACATGTTTGAATCAACCTTTTGTATATCCATAGACATTTTACCACCCCCAAACCCCGAAATTGTGGACTGCCGGGTCTCGGGTTTCGGGGTTCGGGGGTCCCGGAACTCGGGACTCAATATGTGAGACAACACAGATATCTTTCAAAAGTTTGTAAATCAATTTGTTTGTAAATCAAATTTATTGTAGATCAAATTTTATTGATCTCCCCAAATTTCCCAAGTCCCGAGCGCCGACCCCCGACCCCCGAGACCCGGCAGTCCACAATTTCGGGGTTCGGGGGTCCCGGAACTCGGGACTCAATATGTGAGACAACACAGATATCTTTCAAAAGTTTGTAAATCAATTTGTTTGTAAATCAAATTTATTGTAGATCACCCCCGAACCCCGAAATTGTGGACTGCCGGGTCTCGGGGTTCGGGGTTCGGGGGTCCCGGAACTCAGGACTCGATATGTGAGACGACATATCTTTCAAAAGTTTGTAAATCAATTTGTTTGTAAATCAAATTTATTGTAGATCAAATTTTATTGATCTCCCCAAATTTCCCAAGTCCCGAGCACCGACCCCCAACCCCCGAGACCCAGCAGTCCACAATTTCGGGGTTCGGGAGTTGGTAAAATGTTTATGGATATATGAAAGGTTGATTCAAACATGTTTGAAAAATGTCTTTCATCTCAAAAATCGAGTCCCGAGTTCCAAATTAGTGCCGAAGCTTGAAACTTGAAATCAGTGGAAAATGAAATCTCGCAACAATGTACACATGAAGATGTTTTATTTCCTTTGACAATTCACCGAGTGTCTTGTACTAACCTGACAACACAGTCCCGGCTTCAGGCTTCAGGGCTCGGTACACGACACTCGGGGAATTGTGAAATTTCTATTTCCTTGGACATTTCACTGAGTTCCGAGGTCCGGGCGCCGAATTCCGAGTTCCGAGCGCCGAGTTCCGAGCTCCGAGTGCCGAGTTCCGAGCTCCGAGTGCCGAGTGCCGAAGCTCAAAACTTGAAATCAGTGGAAAACGAAATCTTGCAACAATGTACACATGAAAATGTTTTATTTCCTTTGACAATTCACTGAGTGTCTTGTACTAACTCAGGGAATTGTGAAATTTCTATTTCCTTAGACATTTCACTGAGTTCTGAGTTCCGAGCGCCGAGTTCCGAGTTCCGAGTGCCGGATGCTGAGTGCTGAAGCTTGGAACTTGAAATCAGTGGAAAACAAAATCTCGTGACAATGTACACATGAAAATGTTTCATTTCCTTTGACAATTCACCGAGTGTCTTGTACTAACCTGACAACACAGTCCGGGCTTCAGGCTTTGGGTTTCGGGGCTCGGTACATGACACTCGGGGAATTGTTTATGGAAATGAAACATGTTCATGTGTACATTGTTGCGAGATTTCATTTTCCACCGATTTCAAGTTTCAAGCTTCGGCACTCAGCCACTGGTCGGTAGTCAATATAGGCAAATGGTAATGAAAAATGAAAGTTGTTATTACGCTTAACTTCCTTACCGAAGGTTGTAGTCCGAGTCTAGGGGAGTGTATTGGTAGTCTTTTCTTGTCCATCAGTTATCATTTAACCGAGATATAAGCTAAAGAAATCTGAAACATCGGCAATAATGAAAAATGAAAGTTATTATTATGTTTAAGTTCCTGAACAAAAGTTGTAGTCCGAGCCAAGGTGAGTGTATTGGTAGTTTTTTCTTGTCAATTGGTTATCTCGTTACTCGGTACTCGGTACAAGGGAATCAGTACTTGGTATTTGGTTCTGATACTTGATACCCGAGAATCAGTAGTGGGGTACTCGGTACTCGGTTCTGATACTTGGTACCCGAGAATCAGTAGTCAGGTACTCAGTACTTGGTTCTAATTCTCGGTACCTGTGAATCAATAGTTGGGTACTCCAGCCAATAGTCCCGAGTCCCGAGTACTGATACTTGGTATTCAGTAGTCAGGTTTGGAACTTGGGTCTTGGTTTGGTTATCATTTGACTGAGATATTGGTAGGCAATATTGGCACTCGGAGCTCGAATACTGACTATCAACTATCAAGTGTCGGGACTTGGTAATCGGTAGTTGAGACTTGGTGCTTGAATGGATATTGCATATATACATAAAAATACAAAATATGTTCCTATGTGTTCATTTCTAGGTGAATAGTATCTCAATCATCTATTCAACAATAGAAACAATGTATCAGGAGCTCA